GATGTAAGACATTACATGGAATTTCGATTTCATATTTAACAGAACTTATCAGTATTACACATGTTTGAAATCTATATTAATTACAAAGCACTTTAATGTGACTACAAAAAGCAGAATTTCTGAAAATATACTAATGTACAATCTGATGAAATCTGAAATTAATTAAAGGAATATACAACGAAATTCTAAGTTCCGTATATCACGCTTCTTCTACAAAGATGGAGATTTTAAAAAAACCCTAAACATAATGTATGGAGATCGCTTCAACCTGTAGATAAAGATTTACACTAATTGAGTATATCTATCTGATACAATATAACAAAATGTGTTATATACTAGCGACGTTACGAGTAACTTCTGAGACATATTAATGGAGTAATATTATCTACATATTCTTATGGTATAACTATTCAGTAATTAGATTGTGTATACTTATATTTCCCTTATTATAAGTTTCATTTTGACGTATAGAATATTATTGTACGATTTACTATCCTTAAGTTATGTTCAGTTTATTGATTACAATCTCCCACGTTCACAGCCACTTTTGGCCAAATCTTGTGCAAATCTTATTTCCCATTTTATGGTACGATGCGGTCTATTTGGCTGGTATATAAACCCAATATGTCTGAAATAAATGATTCCCATAGTGGGAGGTGCTATTGGTGTTCTGGACTCAACTGGACGGGCTAGGTTGATCAGATCGGTCGAATGTTATTGGTTTAATACAGTACAAGAGTGAATAAGTGGGATTTCGATTGGCGAATAAATTACATGATAACTAGCCGGACTTAAAGTCACAACATAATGATTCATGTTCAGTGAAAACATAACTCAGTTTTACCGTCTAATGATCGATATTTAAGAAAACGGTGTAAATGAAACGTTTTACCTGACACAAATTCTGTGCATTTTTGTCATTCGGAAATTGAGCTTTTATTGCTTTTACATTTCTTCCGAGATATTCCGAAATTACTATTTATCTAGCGGTTACAAGTTCATAACCTATTCTAACCTCTTAAATTTTGTAATGTGAAGTAATATTATGACTCTCAAACGAAAAAGTCTCACAACCACTAACTAAACGTACATTGTACTCGTCATTCCCTTTTTGAATATCACAAATCAATGATACCATACTAAATCTCGTTTTACGTAACCTTTTCGATTTTCTTTTAGTGCTGGAGTTGGTCGAACTGGAACATTCATTAGTGCTCTTGTCGTTCGCAGACATCTTCGATCTGGCTGTCAATGGATTAGTTTACCAAGCATTGTTTTAATGCTGAGACTCTGGCGCTACTGTATGGTTGAGTTGACAGTGAGTTTTTGCAGCTGATTTACTGATATGACTCATTTAAAGTAAACATCAGTATAAACACAAACTTTTAAACTGAGAAAGTTGAAATTTTCAGTGAAAATCAAACTTAAAAAATAATGAGATGAGTTTGGTTATACTTAAGTTCATTCAGATATACAGGTTTCTAGGCTACATTAAAAAGTAACAATATAAACAACCGGTTTCACTTTTGTTTATGTGTAGTGCAGAGATATATGTTGGAACTTACCTTACTAGCTAATTCAGTTCATTATTTAGAAACATTATTGACGATAAAAGCGAGAAAGTCACATTTACAATTCACGTCAACACTAATCCATAGATCATGTATGCTAAGATTTGCACTGACGTGTTGCATAACAAACAGGATATTTCACAGAATAATAGACCTTTACAAAACATCTCAGTAAAAACATAGTCAAACCAGAGATAAGAAGTACAGTTTCGCTTTATCAGGATATTAAAGGGTGCTTTAATATAGTCTCAAAGTTTTTCGAAATCCCTAACCAAATTCAGTCTACTGTAGTATCTGTACTGATAAGCTTAAAGCATTACTTACTTAAACATTGACGGATCAGTCGAATGAAATCCTCGAAAAAAAATTAGTTGATTATAGCCGATGCAACTCGGAATCAATCTTAGGTACGAAAATTCATCGTTTTTCTGCTGTTTTATGCCTTAATTTTCTTGAATAATTCTGGACCTACGTACACACTTATATTTAGTGAAGACGCTGAAAGAACGGGGCATTCTGACCACCTTAAGTAACAATGCAAGCATGCTTAGCATGCGTTTTGTCCATCTGAATAAAAAAAATTTATTCCAGGACTGTTATGCGTCAATGCCTGAACTAAAGATATGGAGTGAAGTAGTTGAGCTCGTCGACCACTTATCTTGGACGGCTCACCAACCCTAATAGATTAGTGTCTGACAAAATCTCAAGACGGATTCAGCAAGCTCATGTAAAAGAAATGCCTAAAAACTAACTAACCAGTTGTTTTAGTATCGATAAAAGTAAGTATAAAGAAGAATGAAATAGTTTTGAGATTTTGTTCTCTGAGATGGATAGTTTGGTCGTGGAGCTTTCATCGTTCTTCTGAACGACATCATCAGCACAAACTTCAGGTAGAAATGAATGAAATAAAACTTCAATATGAATAATCACAATCATACGTACATCGGTAACTTTTTTTTACTTTTAAGGAACAATATCTATTTCTACATGAATATTTCGCATATATTTTGAATCAAGAAAGATATTGCTAATATAAAATTCTAACCAACTAATTCAAGAATGGTTATTATATGTATTAAACAAACAATGAATATACTATTGTCAAAGTATGAACTGGTCAGTCAGTTAGTAACAACGTATGAACTGGCAATTTCAATTGGTTGCATTGATTACATTACGTTAAAAACAAGCAATTCTGTATTGATCAAGGTTTTCTTTTTCAAAATATTCATTACAAGTTTTTGTACATAATTTAATTCCTACATTTATTATTGTTTACAATATACAGTATGTTATTTTAAAAACGAAATACTTTTCTTTGTTTGAAGAAGTTTAACTTTACAAAACAACTGGTCCATATTCAGTGAACTGAAAAACAAAACCCATCTAAGGCATCAATAAGATATAGGATTATATCTCTAGATGGTCTGTTTTTGGTCAAACTTTATCTTCAAGGATTTTTTTTTGCCTACAGAATGATGTACTGATATACCTATAGACTCACAACAGTAGTTGTATTTCTCAACCTTGATGTACCATTTGATTCTGTAGATCGACAGGTTGTTTAGGAGTTTATGTAATTGAAAGACCTACTGAAGAAATATGTCAACCTTTTACAGGCTCTCTATTCGAACACTACCGGTTGAGTCAGAACCTATGATGAATGATCATTAGAATTATCAACCTCAAGAAGTGTTCATTAAGGTTGTCTGCTTTCCTCATTTTTATCCAACTTTGTCATAGGCATTTTTTAGAGACAAAATCCACCGTCCGATTTATCAGGGATTGATTTACCAGAAGATTCTCTTGTTAACCTAGAATACGAAAATAATGTAGTTTCGTTTCGTGAACAAACTGGAAAGCGTTCTGACCGCGTTAGCCAGCATGTTTGGGATGCGTTTCTCTCCTTATAGACGCAAAATGTTATTTTAGGATCGGTATGCGTCAATGCCTGAACTAAGGACACGGAGTAAAAAAGTTGAATTCGTCGGTCACTTAACTTATTTTGTAAGTCCCATCACCTTTAGTGGGTTGGTGCATGACGAGATCTTGAGGTAAATTCAGAGAGTTCGATTGGCTTTTGCCAAATTATGCCACTTATCGTATAGATGAGATATTCGTTCGTCAACTAAAGGAAGGTCTCATTGTGCAGCAGTTCGCTCTATCTTATTTTATGGGTGTGAAATATGACCATTAAGAATAGAGGACGTTCGTGGGTTACCAGTATTCGACTATGTGTTTTCGAAACATTGGCGCATTTTTGGACCACTGGGTAAGCAAAGCCGGGATTCGGAAAAGGGTACTAGGTAGGCATGCCGAACAAATTGACGATGCAGTGAATCTTTGTCGGTCGAAATATGTATTACATATGCTCATCCACTGACCATTTTGACGCGCGAGGGTGGCTAATGTAGTAGGTTGGAATAAATCTAGATGCAGCCAAATCGACATGGCACGACTCCATGAAGATACTAACTGTTAGACTGAGCCATATTAACAAGCGTAGACTTCCTAGCTGAGGTCCGCATAATTATCGTAACCAATGGTTAGACTTTAAATAACATGGCTTAAAATCATTTGTAATCATGCAGATGCATCCACTCTGCCTTCCTACAGATTACAAGATTCTAAATTCTTTTTTTCATTTCATTAATTATATTTTCTTCTCGAACTGCATTGCGTATGCTTAATCATTTCGATTACCATTAATCCTGTTACTACCTCCAATACTCTTGGATCTGCCCTGATAATTTTATCTTGCTATGCTAATCGGGTGTTGCATTTTGAACCGATGTATACACATGCGTCAATTCCTAAGTCGCGTTTGACTGACTAACTGTATAATCACTTAATAATATTCTATCACATGAAGCAAATAAACACTAGACGTACAAATTTCTATTGACTGTTCAGAGATTTCATAAGGAACAGCAAGCGATGAGTTCTTTAACTACGTTATAACAGTCGTTTTCATCCACTTTTGTAACTGTTTGTTTCCAAATAACAATATCGGTACTGACAATATGATTGCCAGACGAAGTAAGAGAAATTTTTGTCTGATTCGTTTGACCCAGTGAGTGTCTTCAGCGACAGTATTTAGACTCACTTTTAAGAAATAGGTGTATTGGCTTTATTTATGTCATTACTAGGAAAAGCCAGTAAGAAATTAATCGAGTGCCAATTTCTTGTTCCCTTTCAGTCCAACTCTAATGGAATCGGGGATAAATATCAGTAAGTGGTACACTTCAGTGGGTCCATCCTCCAGTAAAATTACTAATTTAGGAATGTGAAGTTTAGTTATATGTATACTTTTAAGCAGACTATTCAGGAAGGAGCAATTTATGTTTTCAGAAAAAAACAAACCACGGTTGTGTATTTCATTCCTACATACAACTAAGTAGAAAGAAGTCTTAAAAATCTATTTTCAGAGGGATTTCCCTTCCAGAGGGAAGAGAACGCAATTGTTTTAAAGTAAGCTATAATTCATATTTATTCGGAATACTGTTTTAAATGAGAATTTGAATCTGTCATTACAAAAACAAACGTGAGGGAATCGAAAATCCAGTGTTATATTGATAAATGAACAAATCAACAAAGTAACATACATTTTTTGTTATGCACACATTAATGACTGAGAAATGAGCGATGAATAAAACGTATTGTAAAACACCTAACTTCTGGTGTATATTTTTAGCGCAAACTAACGCTGAAATCGACAGGTCTTCTAGATTGAACACTACCAGATGAACTAACGTTGAACAAAGCTTTGCGAACAACATCTGCGTCTACTTCGACCGGAATGCCTGATTTGTTCAGAGACTCACGAATAACTTGTTTAGCCTGAGTTTCAGTTTGTTTCCTGAGAGGTTAATTACAAAGAAATATGGAGAATGATAACTAAATATATATAGTGAAATAATATACATCTATTAACGATTTCTGACTTGCAGAATATACAAGCATATAACAAAGTGTATAGAAAAAAAATTCGAAATAACAAAACATTAATGGATTAACCTTCCATAATTTGGTCCAAGTCTTGAGGCCATGCGAGCAGAAGTGTCACGTTCACTGGGTAAATCACTAACTGGTGTAGTAAGGCTTACACGCATTGGACGACCATCGAGTTCACGACCATTATAACGTTCAATAGCTTCAAGCGCATCTGAAGAATGATTATAAATTACTTCCGCTTGGCCAGGACGTGTAACAGTACACAGACGTAAACTTCCAACGCTGCTAAATAGCTCCTATGAGAAAAAGGAGTATCAAATTAATTTTTATATTTGGATAAAATATTTATATTATATAACTAATACTGCTTAGTTCAACAAGTGAATAAAAGGGCATAAAATAGGGCTATTTTCGTTTCCTCAACAAGATTCCGCATCAAATAGCAGAAAAGTGTGGCAACACATAAAAAGAGCAGTGTATTGAGTTGTTTGATCTTTAGGAAGATAAACACTTGTTGGCTTAAAGTACTTCGTCATATATGCTGCTCAAGTATATATATATATATATATATATATATATATATATATATATATATATATATATATATATATATATATATATATATATATATATATATATATATATATATATATATATATATAGCTCAAGTGTCGTGGACCAACTGAGGAAACAATGTTGAGGTTGGATGTAGAGCACTCGGTAAGGATGATAAATCAGTTGGTGAGGTAGTGAATCTTTATCAACCGAGGTAGTTGGGACATTATATAGCATTACGTATCCCAATCCACCGCTTACCTCAACATGCAACGTTTGTTGATGTAGAAGTAAGCTGAAATGTAGAAGCGGTTGGCCTAGAACGCAGTGTAGTGTGTGCCCTTTTGTGGACAGATATAAGTAATGCGTCACAGGAATAGGAGATGGAATGTTTACTAACAGAAGATATATAAGAAGAGAACAGAGAGCATTGGAATAACAACAGAATCAGAATGATGGAGTATGTAAAGGATAACTGAAGGAGGATGTGCAAATGATGTATTTAATGTATGATTTTCATGCTTCGCAAAGGCACTGCGATTTCGCAAAAAATAATATAGTGGTTTTTTCACCATGTTTTTGTTCACAAATCAAGTGACCTGTGTGGCGCATATGTATTCAGTGCCCCTTTGTACCAATATTTATGTGTTCAAATAAATGTTTACTACAGTAATATCCATGTTGATGAATGTAAATGACACACGTGAAAATCTTAATCAGTGGTTGAAGATGTTGAGTGACACGCCTTAGAATCGGTTACGATAGTCCAGACTCAGTTACTTAATATCTCGCCCTGTATTCCCAGTCCCAAAACTCCGTGAACACATCTTTATTGTCTTTCCCAATCATATTCTCAATGTCTAGCTTTTCTCATTATCATTGTTACTGAACTATTTTGATTCCTTTGTTATTCGTCTTGTTAACTTTCTCGTTGTCCTTATGAAGTATGACAACTTTGGCCGACGCACTTATATAGCAGTCTCAACGTTGATTATAGCTGACAGACAGAAATGTCCATCAGTATAGTCTGGTACAAATGTGCATTGACCCAATGTTATACCACAGTAACACAGGGAGATGAATGTAACAAGTATAGTCGCAAGAGATCAAAATAATGTAATAACAATAATAATAAGAAAGAATAAACAGGAATTATGGCTCAAAAAGACGGAGTAAAAAAAGTAAATACAAAGGAACCCAATATCGAGAGGGAGAGTGAATACATAGGCACCATTGAGAACTATCCCGAGATATGACCGTGGTTAGTGAACGGTGAAAATACTAGGACGTGACGGCCATCCAGTGCTTCCAGGTTTTCAATGGTTGTCTAACTTGGAAAGGTGTGTGACCCCAACAAGAACACACTAAAATACTTCGTACTTTCAAACCTAGAATACAAGACTGGTTTTTTTCACTGTGAAAATCAACAATTGATAGTGAAGCAATTCCAAAAGTTGGTCACTCTACTCACTCTAAGCTTCATTAACTCCGGTAACTTGGTGGCTGAAAAAACCTCGACACAGATTTGAAAACCTCCCTAGGTTTTTGTCAGTATACACCACCTGTGAGAAAGGCGAAACGTTCATCTGTTTTCCAGAGTATACTGATCGGCAATTCATTCTGTACCACTTTATGACAGTTAAATAGTGTATATTTAGGTTGAATACACGGATAGGCAGTTATATGTTAAAGACAGACGGCTTCTTAGGATTTGTAGCGCATAATGGCATGACTGAATGAGCAATGATGCAGCTGAGATTACTAGGTAAGAATGGCAAATCATTTGATGAGGCTAAGAACTTTCTTCGACTAAAGAATTTGGGACATTTGATAAGCATACATAGTTACCTGTTAGCTGATTTGTTGTGGGGGTAGAAATAGGTTGGATAAATGCTAAAAGTGGGCAAAACAAAATGTTTTGAGTTTTTAAGTGTTTGAGATAGTAGGAATTCAGAAATTAGACTGGTCACAATGACAAGAATACATTCACGAATGAAAACGTGAGAAGCATGCTATATGTGTTTGAAATACAGAGTATCATCTTTATGTAAATATAAAGTTATTTATTTACCAGTTCGGAAACATGGGGTTTTAAGATGAAAAGTACCTATACAGCATTATATATTCATAACGGTCACCATTTTTGTATTCTTCAGAATTATCATGCTCTGATGTTTCGCTTTCCCTGGATCATTTCGACTAAGAAATAAGTCTGTCATCTTCGTAAAACTGTTTGTGTTTCTACTTGCGTCGTGCGATTAGTCAGTCAGACTAATCACGATTAACGGGATCAAGTAGTGAGTATCAATTATCTGCTGCTACAACTGACAGAATCGCTTATAACTTTATAACTTCTCAAGTTTTTGGAGGGTGAAATAAATCCTTTTCTGTGTTTATTTATGTCGTGAGAATTGCCATAATTTAGTTTCAAGTGCTAAAATAGTCCTTATAGTTACAACAGTTCAACAAACGCTTGATTTTAAGAAAAACAAAGAGTTGTTAAGAAACACTAACAATTTATGAATCTCAAATTATAGATGGAAGCTTATTATTAATTTAAATAATGATATTGATTATGATCTAGTCAAAAATCATATCTATCACGTCATAAAGATAATCATAACTTCTGCAATACCCCAAAACTATCACACATAACTAACTAGATTGTAAAATAACGAAATATAACTTACGAATACATCATCTAGCGTGACCGACGGCTGAAGGTTACGGATTTCCACACGGAAACCTTGTATTGGACTAATCTTAGGTCCTGATGAAGAAGCAGACACAGGAACTTCATTAAACGGCAATAAGTTAGCAAATAACCCAGTAGTGGGTGTAGGGTTATTAAGAAAATCAAGAGGATTAGGAAGAGGTAACGGTAAGCTCAGCAGATCAGGAATACCTGGACGAAGAGATGCTGGACGTGGTTTTCGCTGAAACATAAAAAATTTTTATTAATAGAAACCTCATAAGGACAAAACAAAACTATCATTTTCCACTGAACTAAATGATGTATATTGACGTCACACCCATTTACTGGATCATTACAAACGTGGTTCTTCGTTTTTAATTTTAATAAACGCAAAATTTATAAACCTTTATATATATACCTAAGGTACTTTAAACTTCACGTTTTGAACTAGTTTCCATTGGAAAATACTAAATAACAAATATTTTTTAATAAACTGAAAAAAGGTGGGATTACAACACTCAATTGCAGAATTTTAAGTTACGAAGGATTATGAAGTTCAATATCAACTTACTGCATTTCGTAGATTGTTTATTTGGCCTCCGAAGAGTTCATTTTTAATCTACAGAAAAAGAATCTAGCTCAAGTGAAGTTATATAAAAGGAAATCAAGTTTATTAATATCAAAACGAAACAAAACAGACGTTAACAAAAAGTAGAACATAAAAAGTTGCACTCATAGCAAAAAATATTACATCGGACGAAACGGGTGCTCCTTTTGGCTACGCGTACATGAACATTGATTAGCATTTAGGCGACATGATATTTTATCACTGATATCAGTATATTAAGATAATCCTGTGCTAGGGAAACTTCAAGATCATTAAAGAATTTCTAGGAACGTGACATTTATATCGATTGTCAATCAGTCACGAAAACAGATATCAGCCAATGAAGATAGTCAGTGTGGATATAAAGACAAATGAAGACAATATAATGTACCAAGACGGTCAATCACAAATAAGGCCAACAAAAGTAAGTGGTATAAAACTTATGGAATAACTGAAATGGACGTTGAAAATGTCTAGGATAATAATAGAAGCTCTGTAATTAAACCATCCAGCCACGAAAACACAACACTAAAAACATTCAACCAAGTTGTAGTTTATTTTCGGCCTATACGAACATATGTAGAGGCGTGGATCTTCAATCAAAGCAATTCGCAAGTATATGAAGTTAACTATCATATTTAAAGGATACCAGAGTGTAAATGTCATTAATTATCAAGGGACTTTTAATTAACTCTTTGCTAAGTAGTCAGCCATAACTTACGCGGAATTTAGCACAAATTTTTATTGGTCAAGTTTTTAAATCACAGTGCAATGAGAGGAAATTAACAAGGTACATAACGGAGAAATTATAGTAGTATCAATAATGGTTAGAAAACTAAACTTAGAGGATATAGTTCGAAGGTGAAATGAGTAAGGGAATAAAAAGTCTGGAACAATTTCAAAACTCATGGAGGTCACGATAGAGAAAGTTGTTTGGACCACTGCAACCGAGTTTAAGCCATTTCATCTGAAATCTTCAACTACTGAATATGATTTTCGTCCGGACCCCAACCAAAGTCTACACAGGCTAACCAATACTTTTCATAAACTATTAATGATAATTGACTGTTTACGAAATTGAGAGGATGAAAAACGAATGTCCGAAGCTTTAACCGTATTGGTGGGCTTCGGAGGGTCCACCTGGAAGAGTTGGAAAACCCTAATTCCAAACCACTAGTGCACATCTGCTCCAGTATAGTGAAGGAACAAACAGAGTACAAACCTATTGTTGGCCACAGGCTACCATGAGACAGCATCTCCTAACGTTGCTCTACTGCTATGTGGATCAGATCTCTAGGTCAAAGGTCCGAGAAGTGTCCCCCCCCCAAAACCATCTGATTCGGTTTGAGCACCCAGAAAGTATCCAAACTCACACAAATTGAATGATTTGTGTGGCGGATATATATGGCTCCTTGTACTGTTTGTGTTTAGATAAAATGAAAAACAGTATATCATATAGTTTAGGTTATTGCAATTAACGAGTCATTACATTTATAAAGCGAATCAAAGGTTTCTAAAATGTTCACGAATTATTCTTACTGAGATTATAGGCAATCAGATTCCTGATTGAGAACACTTAAAACTGACAATAGACAGTGTTAAGTAATACAATGCGACTTATATTAACATTTACTGTGAAGAACCAAATGCCTGTTGAAGGCAAGCATAAATTACAGGTTTTTTAAAATTTATTAATTCCATTACGGCCTAAGTAATACAATCACGACAAGTCAGATTGTATAATGAACAAACCAGAATGTATGGATACGACTGATGGGAATGATACTGTTATTACGTTGAATGGCATAGCCAAGCAATAAAATTCGCAAATTAGTATTAACAACTAACATAGTGTGAGAATAATGGCGTGAAAACATTATAAAGTAAAGCTAGTTAGAATTAAATAGCGGTTTCCGAGTTTTTTTAACGAAGCTTGATTATAAATGAATTTGTCGTACATAATATGAATAGCACCGTATAAATATTGTTGCACAGTATCCGAGGAGTCTGAAGTTGTCGGGAAAACCCCTTCTTTACGAAAAAGTAGGAGACAACACAACGACGAATCAAACAACCATCTCCGAAAGCAAATAAGTAACAACAACTAATAGCGTGTAAATACTTAATTTATAGCGATTTTTAAACATGACTTCTATATATTGTGATCGCATCATTCCGTCTTGTTAACTGTTCGGCTAATTTGTTAGTGAAGTTTGTGAGTTATTAAAAATTTTCTTGTGAATCTGCTTACGACGAGAAAAATACATGAATAAATGTTTTGCACAGACATAACTTAGGTGTTACAATAGGACTGACAACAACCCTTAGACTTGAATTCTCTAGAGTAACAATCACACAGGTTTAGTAACTTCTCTGTCAAAATACTTATGATTTAAGTCAACTCTCCTTATTAGTTGTAAATTGAGTTCTAGTGTAATTGTTTTCATCGCAGCTCTTGGCTCCACTACATAGTAATCACACCATGATAACTATCTAAACCCATTGGCATTCACACCACTATTAGTATCATAAAAATAGGTTCTTGCGAATAAATGCACGTGCTTTAGAAAAGTGAGGAAACAACAACGGGAATACGTTACTTTAGCATGCTTAAGTTAGAATTACATACCGTTCTTATAGGGATGAAGAACGGGACTCGAGGATTTCGACGTGGATGAGGTACATTCCTCGACCTCAAGACATTTCTAGCGTCACGAAATGTCGAGTTACGTTGACGAGTACGGTTGCGAAGCAACGTCCGTGCATCAGGTGTTCGTACAGTTAGATTAAGCTTGTTTCTGAGATCGTTTCGACCGTTGATTGCTGACGTATTAGTCTTTCCTAATCGTCTTCTAGAATTCCGATATATAACATTGTTTATTACACTTACTTTACGGACACTTGTCTGAGTCGTCTCTCAAACGTAGCGTTCATCATTAAAATAAAGACGCAACGCAACCAAACAAAGTGATTAATTGTGTTCTTTTGTGAACTTTTTGGAGTCTTAGAACCATGAATTGTTAAAAACATTTGTTTGTATGAAAATCTAGTTATGTACTTATAATTTTATGGGGCTAAAGCGTAAAAACAACAAGCATTTCCATCAGATTACTGTTATTTATAGTAGGAAGGACACAACCTGTACCTTTGAATTGAGATGCTTACCAGGAGTTTAACACTTTCCTCAGTGAATTGTTGTGATTACCGAAACTATATGGGTTATGCTGTTAGTTGCTACAAACAATAAATAACAACTTGTTATTTACGATTGTTATCCCTCGTGGAGGAGCATAGGTCGCTCACCAGCATTCTCCATCAAACTCTGTTCTGGACAATCCTTTCCGGTTCTTATCAGTTGCTATTCATCCTTTTCATATCTGCTTCCATGTCCCGACACAGTGTATCCTTAGGCCTTCCACTTGTCCGTTTCCCTTCAGGATCCCAAGTTAGCGCTTGCCTGATGATGCAGTTTGATGATTTCCTCAATGCATGTCCTACTCACTTTCAATGTCTTTCTATAAATTCCACTTCAACTGAAAGGTTGTTTGTTCTCTCCCACAGCAGTCTTTTGCTTCTGATATTCGACCAACGGACATTCAGTATCATAAGTAGACAACTGTTTATAAATACTTGTACATTTGTGATGATGGTTGTCGTAGTTCTCCAAGTTTTAGCTCCGTACAGTAGGACCGTTTTGACGTTCGTATTGAAGATTGTGACTTTTATATTAGTTGGCAGTTGCTTTGAGTTCTATATATCTTAAATTGTATGAATGTGACCCTTGTTTTGCCGACCACCAGAAGAAAGAGAAAGGGGAGGAGTGAATAGCTTTGTCTGACTCCGGTCCCTACTAACAATGCATCTGTCAGATGACCTCTATGCATAACATTGCACTGTAGTTCATCGTATGAATTCCGTAGGTATCCTTCTTTCCAGTCTGTCGGCACTTCTTCTTCCTCCCAAATCTTCCCGGGATAGAACGCGAAGCATACTTGCAGTGACTTCTATATCTGGCTTCGGTGCTTCAGTTGGAATATTGTCAGGTCATGCTGGTTTCGCTCTCTTGATTCGTTCGATAACCGGCCATATTGATTTCTTCCATCGTTGGTGGAGTGACATCTATAGGAAGGTCTGTGGGTGCTGCTCCGATTCCCGGTGGATTCAATGAAACTGGTGTATTCATGAGTTCCTCCAAGTGTTCCACCCATCTTTTCCTCTGTTCTCGAATCTGAGTGATTGATTGTCTTGCCCTTTTTGTCCTTTACTGGTCTCTCTGGTTCACTATATTTGCCCGTCAGTTCCCCCATCGCGTCATATAGCTGTCTCATATTTCCTTTTCTTACGACTTTTTCCACTGTCGTTGCTGGCTCTTTCCTGTATTTCTACTTGTTAGCTCTAATGCTCCTTATCATTTGCTTGTTTGCTCCTGTGTACCTGTCTTATGCTTTGACTTTCTCTGTTTCTATTCGGTTGTTGCTAATCGCTCTCTTCCTGTTTTTACTTTCTTGAATCTTATACAGGGTTTCCATTAAGATCCACTCCTTTTAATGATGCTTACTGCGGTCCAGTACCTCCTGACACGTTAAAGTTGGTGCTTCTCTGATCCCATTACAGTTGTCCTCCATCGTAGTTTTTTCTTTCAGTAGATCCTGTAAGGCTTGGAATCCGCTGTTGAGAGTTATCTTGAATTCGTTGAGTTTGTTAGTATTTGGTAGGAAGGCTGTATTGAACATTTGTGCTATTGTTTCCTCAGCTATCCAGTGTTTCTTGAGCATCAGTTTCATCTTGGCCACAACCAGGTGATGGTCTGAATCCATGTCAGCTGCTCTGCTGGTTCTCACGTCTTCCATTGTGCTTCGGAATTGTTTATTGATACAAATATGATCCATCTGGTTCTCCGTGGTGTGGTTCAGTGAGATCCACACAGCCTTATGTGTGCGTTTGTTTGGGAATAATTTGCTGCGTATATTCAAGTTTTTGAATACACATAGGTTCACAAAACCCATCACCATTTTTGTTTCCCTCTCTCAGTCCATGTCGTCCCATGATATTTTCATATCCCGTGTTGTCCATTTCAACTTTAACGTCCAGATGTTCCAACAGGATTGTCGGAAAATAGATATTCAATATTTAACGCGGAGAAATACCCAACAATGGAGAAGGCGGGAATAAGGAATTGAATCAATCGGAGTTAATCTTATGGCATGGCTCGACCATGTAGGCCTGGTCCCTCCTGCTAAATGTTACGTTATGTCTTTTATTCATATTAAATATATTGTTCCATCTCTAGCCTAAAATTGTTTTATATCATGTATTGGTAATTGTTACGACGCAGTGAGTTGGTGTAGATGATGATGTGACTTCTACGTAAGATCTTATAGATTAGTTAGTTACATCATAACAAATCTACAATTTTAGGATTAGGTCTATTATTAAAGCAGCGCTAATATCATAGTAGACTATAATTCTACATTGGTGAGCCCGACTGAAGAAACGCAACTTATTATTATTTTTTCCCTTTTTCACTTGATATTTCTGGATCGATATTTACTTATGTAAACCCATTATTCTAATAGTCCTCTGATTAATGCTCATGTGTATTATCGTAATGTTATGTTGATTAGTTCTCATAACTTACTAGCTCAATCGATAATAAAAACTGGTCATCTATTTTAATTATTAGCTTTGATATTTCGTTAACAAGCTTTAGTAGCATTTACATGCTTCAGTAAAATAAACTTGTTTTAACATCAAGCTCTAGCAAATATGAGCTGCAAATAACCTTAATATACATTGACTAACCATGCAATCAAGGACTAAATAATTATCTGGATCTAATTCTTAGTGTTCCTTCACTTAAACATTCTGTCTTAGACTATGCACCATCCTGTTATATCTTTTTTTCCGACCACTGCCTGCCTAATTTCATATTCTCGAGTTCCATTGCCAAACAACAAAGATGACACTATTACAAAAGATTACGGTGAGTTTCAGCTATACGTTTTCTACAATCGTATGGTCATTTTAGATGGCTCGTTCAATGGCAACCACACAATTATCTGGATTCATTCAGTTGTTCTGATCCGAGCAAGTGACAAAAACATCAGCGGCAACAAGGACCCCGGAATTAATTAACGTACTGCATGTTTTATTCTAGATGCTTTTGGATCATTACTTCTCACGAATGGCGTTACATATGTCGTCTACTGAATAATCTAATCTTCAAAAATTATCCAGGCGAGTTTAACTATTTTACTGGATGATTTTTTTAAACATAACATATATATTTTATTGCTTTTGCCACATATTTGTAAGTGCCACTAAGCTAAATGCAGGAAATTCTTGTGGAAAGTTTATAACGCGTCATAATCCTGCCTGAAGTTTTATAAGCAGTCTTAACTTTACAATTATTTTCCTGGTCATGTTTATTATTTTTAAATTGTCATATACCTCAACAACCTGCATGTTAACCTGGCCCGTACATGCGTTGCATCACATCTCTATGTCTTTTAAATTGAAAAGTCATTTGAATCGCCTGTAACATCTTCAATAAACCCATCATAGTCATTATTGCTATACGTTTTTGGGTTTGTGAATTGGTCCATCATATTAGTAGCCTAAAAACAGGGACATAGTTTAGATAAAAATGTCACCGGATTTAAGTGCTATAATAATGCACTAGCATAATAACTAAACTCTCATGTAGTTGTTCGACAAACTAATATTCAAAATTAAATCTCAGGAGCCTATTATTAGAATTAACATTATGTACACGAATATATTTAAATTACCATTAGTAATATAAACAGGCAGCTCAGATTCGTTAACACTACGAATTTCTGGTAATTTTGAATCACTCAAAGCAACAGAATCTATTTTTCACTGGCTAATCCTCGATCAACACTATAACTAGTTAAAAACAATGGTTTCAGGATATCGCCATAAAGCATTGTCATGATTTGACAATCACGTAATATGATTGATAAAATTGATGAAACTATTAACTAAATCGGTCAGCAAATTGACTTGTAATTATCATTAAATAGTGTTGTTTTCTCGGTATCTTCACCCATTACAGATGATTTTCAGTATGTTTCTCTATCAGTTGCTCATTCAGTAAATATCTCAAAACCTTGTCAGTCTAATTGGAGGTTTAGCGACACAATCATGCATGCAAATAATCAGTATAAGCAGTCGAGCAAATCTCCTGCAAACTGGAAACATAAATGTCGAATTTTCCCCAACACTGACTAAGGTTCAAGCCATTATCATAGACATGAGTTGGGAGTGTACTCCCCTCGATTACAACTTATGTTCTCCCTGGTAATCACATGAGCATCACTCGCTGTTAATCATCTTGTAAAAACTTATTTAGACGAATACATCCTGCAGCACCACATCACCTAAAAATGTGGCACATAGGCCTAACTGATTTCAGTAACTTATATTCACTATATCTCAATGAAATAGCATTTCGTCTTATACTAAACTGACACTTGCAACTAACTTGTATGTACCATCAGCCGATAGGTATGAATATAAATAAATAGTCTATGGCAAATCAGAACATTGAGTCTAGAGCATATCTCTGACGAATACACTCATGTTTAACGAATCGCTCTTAGCTATATGTCCAAAATCCACATAATTATTACTTTTCACGTATTTAAAAATTTTTGATAACCATTCATATGTATTAGTAGTATCACTAAATTCTATCACACTCAAGTAAAAATGAGGTCGAGAAAATCTCCCCATATCTAAATAAACCGTATCAAACTAACTGGAACACTAGTTGGAATTCTTCTCCGCGCTTATACTTTTGTCCTTTCAGTTAGCCTACTAATACAGATGTAATTGGAAATCAACGCATGGACAACTTACCGGCACATACGTTATTTGATTTCATAATTTAGACCAAATATAATACCAATTTTAACATTTTCCTAATATTGGCTGTTTTTAATATTCCTAAACAGGAAATGTTATCAACCTACGATATCACTACGTGTCTTACGGCACTTTATTAAAATCATTTAATTATTATTGTCCCACTTTGTTTAGCTCAAATAATCTTTACCTAAATTTTCATTTTAAGCGTGTTAGGCATTAAACCAGACGTTTTAAAATTGTTACATGTATTTACCGACCAGATTCTGCCTCCTTCTTTTTGATTTATCTTCCAGCTTATCAATGCCCGGTGGATTCTTATCATTCTTGGCAACCTCCGGCGAGCGACAATCCCATCCAATTTGGTATCGAGCCACCATCACGTTGATTCTGGTGGGAGAGTAGTGTAGTGGCATCGGATCATAACCACACAATCCTCAAAGCTGAACACGAGACTACTCGGAAAATAGATATTCAATATTTAACGCGGAGAAATACCCAACAATGGAGAAGGCGGGAATAAGGAATTGAATCAATCGGAGTTAATCTTATGGCATGGCTCGACCATGTAGGCCTGGTCCCTCCTGCTAAATGTTACGTTATGTCTTTTATTCATATTAAATATATTGTTCCATCTCTAGCCTAAAATTGTTTTATATCATGTATTGGTAATTGTTACGACGCAGTGAGTTGGTGTAGATGATGATGTGACTTCCACGTAAGATCTTATAGATTAGTTAGTTACATCATAACAAATCTACAATTTTAGGATTAGGTCTATTATTAAAGCAGCGCTAATATCATAGTGGACCGTAATTCAACACCTCCTCATTTTCATGGTTACTTGACTGGTCTTTCCGGTCTTCCACATTGTTCGAACATTCCATGTACCTACGTTAATTGTTGGTTTGGTTTGTGGAAGGACCATCGGTCTCGTGACTTTTGAAGGATCCTGGCTTTCATCTCGAGGAGTCATAATTCTTCCTTCAACCCGAAGGGAAGAATTTCAATGGCCATATTTGTTTATTTTGGCTGACGTTTTTTCAGAAAGGTTTTTCGTACGGGATTAGGTTTCCTGCCCCATGCATAACCCTATTCCTTTACCCAGGCTTGGGACCGAAATCAGCCCTGGAGGAGCTAAAGGTGGGGTTAATATAAATACTGCGCTTTGATAACTGTTCTGTGCTACATTTGGCTCAACATAACATGTGTTACTTCAGATCTATGGGATGGGTAAACAGCTACAAATAACTTTTACATGGTATAATTCTGCGTTGAGATAAAACACATTGGTTAACGGTGGTTTCGTAGAATGAATTAATCCCGGAAAGTAAGAGGTGGCAAGCAGTTTCTTTACAATGTTTCTCCATGCCTTTATAATCGACAAAAAAATTTCTCACCAGATGCTATACTTGGGGCATTGTTATGTCCATCGAAAACGTAAACATAAACAACCCAATTCTACTGAATTCGGTAGAGCTGTGATTTCTAGGGAAAAAGCTGCGGGAATCCCCTCATTTTCGCTGAGCTTGAATGTTTTTGAAAGCTAAGTACTACGTTTGTCTATAATTTGCAAAAGTGTATTTATTTCCGCAGTTGAACCCCAAATGTTGACATTCTGCGGGATTCAGACCTATAATTTCTGGAGGATGTCTGGAGAACCAATGCTCAAACGACTGAAAATGGAAATAGAAATTCTGTTTCTGACAAATTCCATCATTGTTAAAGCTTAGTTGTCTACTAGTACCTTCAAGTAGAAACTAAATAAAATCACTCTTATAATGCTACATTCCACAGCTCACTACGTTGGACTAAGTAAAATAGACATGTCGATGAACAAAGTTCTTATAAGTAGGGACAGATTATGGATAGCAATCTAATACTCTCATTTCCTCATGTTTGGGACTGGTCAGCTGACACACAGGGTGTCATAGATATTCAGAGTTTGATACCGCTTCTGTCCGTAACACATTCGCCACTTAAAGACCCCAAATCTAGTCGAATTAGAAGTTAGGAGTTGAAGATGCCACAGGTATTCGGAGTTGGACAACGCTTTAACCAGTAACACCTAATATGAAACGTACCCACCAGGTGAAATCAAAAGACAGAAGCGAGGAGATCGAAGATATATTTGATAAGCTATCAATGTATCGAGGATCGTTTAAACTAATCTGGCTAGCGATTGCGGCAGATGTTGAGCACGGCGTTCCCACACGTGATCTGATGCGGATGCTTGACCGAGCGCCTTCAGCTAGATGAGTCCACTAAAACTGTGGTCAGCATCCAGTGTCGAAAACTTACAGAGCTACTTATTCTGGGGATTTATTTACCGCTACAGAGTGAAGGAGTTCGAAGGGAAATTTGGAAGGTATTCAATATGCCATGAAGTATTTGACCTGAGCTGACTAGTTGTTGTGAAGGATTCGTAGAGTGATGTACCCAATCGTGATCGAGTGAAAATGCGAGACCGAGAGCTCTCAGTTAGGGTACATCTAGCAGGAAGTATGATGTCCAGATCAATGTCGAAGACTCACAGTACTGTTTATTTTTGGGACTGATTTACCTTACCACATGCACAAAGTATACGATGAAATTCATCTCAACCTAAACGTTAGTTTATAGTTGGTAACAGTAATATTCGAGCCAAACGAAATCATGGAAAATGTGGATGATGGCAAGCACATCATTTACAAATTAGGTCCACATTAAAAGATGTCTAAGCCCTAACAGTAAATAATTTTGCATGGAAATAGAGCCTTCTCAGAAATATTTACGGTAAGATTAGCACATGTCAACTGATCTGTCCTCATTACTGACAATAAGTGGAATTACTGCTTTGTTTTCGTTCGGTTTGGCGGGAATTTGCATTTATTGGGAAATGGCCTGCACAAAACTGAATGTGTATTATATACCAACTTACACAGCAATCTCCGTTTTTATTTTGATAGGTAACTTCTATTCATAGTATTTCAGATGTCTCGTTAGGTCTTTATTATATTCTGAGCGGTGAAGGCCATAGATTCGATATAGGATGGTATGTAATTTTACGTTTTGTTGATCGCTTTTCAGGGTTTTATCTGAAACATCACCCTACCTATGGGCTGCAATGGGTATTGGTTTGGCTATCTCTCTTTCAGTGGTTGGAGCAGCTTGGTAAGGGAGTTTTCCTTGTTCTTAATATACACATTTCAAGTTTTTATTACGGATTCAGCGAAAAGTATGAGGATCATGGAAGCTAGAACTTCTTGCAAATAACTAGTTTAGCTCAATCAGCTTTTTTTTTCAAAGATATGGCTTAATAGTACTCTAAGAAACCACGCTAAATTGTCCTCAAGGAACCCACTCGGTAAGGTTTTAAGTGGCCTTTAGGTAATATGTCAAAGTTATCTAAGGTAGAGTGAAAATGCGACCAGACTCTGATTTTCCGCCGAAAGCTTGGTAAAGTTACATTGCATTTTGAAAAAGTTTTTAGAAGTTCACTTATACCTGTGGTGTCTAGTACTATATCAAGCCTACATGGGTTATTCTAGCTTCTGGACAGACCGACTTATCCTTTTTGAGTCACATTTTGATCTTGTCAACTATTCGCTTGTAACCTTAAATGTTCCTATATGAACATATATGTGTCCACCGCTTACCTTATTCATCACGTCTTTAGCTTATTTTTATATGGCTTAAAATATTAAGTGATCCCCACCCCGAGGCAGCGTGGAATGACATCCGAAAAGCTGTAAAAACAGCAGTGATGTCTGCAAGTACGGTAAACCATAAGGTTAGGGAGAAACACTGGATCTCAGCAGCATCTACCGCACTGATAGATGCTTGTGAACTCATTCCATATGGCTCTGAACATAACGGAGCGGAGTCAGCTTAAGCGTAATCTGACTAGAAGCTTACGCAATGATCGTGAACAGTGGTGGGTAGCGAAAGCAAGAGAGATGGAAAAGGCAGCGGCAATAGTTAACAGCAGGCAACTGTTCAGACTTGTTAAGGAAACCGGTATTAGGAACCCAACTGTTAGCGAAACAATCTCAGAGAAAGATGGACATATTATTCATTCTCAATCCAGGAGATTGAACCGATGGGCAGAACACTTTAGGGATCAGTTCAACTGGCCTTCAGCCACACTTCGGTTTCCCACGATCTCCAATCTACCTGAATGGCAAGTTAATGTAAGTCCTCCGACTTTTTGCGAAGTTGAAAAAGCTATAGGAAATCTGAAGCGTGGGAGAGCAGCAGGCCCTGACAGGTTTACCCCTGAGATTTTTAAGGATGGCGGTCCAGTATTAGCAGCGAGATTGACTGAAGTCTTAGGTAGAATCTGGGAACTGGACGTAATCTCATCTGACTGGTCTCAATCACTGATTGTGCCAGTCTATAAGAAAGGACAAAAGTCTTCTTGTGACAATCACAGAGGAATTAGTTTGACTAATATAGTGTCTAAAATATTAGCTTCAATAATACTTCGACGTCTAACCAAAGCTCGTGAAAAGCAGACTAGAGAAAACCAGGCTGGTTTCCGACCTGAACGTGGTTGTATAGATCAAATATTCACACTACGTCAGATCCTAGAACATAGACATACATTCAGACGCCCCACAATCGTAGTATTTCTCGACCTTAAGGCGGCATTTGACTCTGTTGATCGTGAGGTTCTATGGCAGTGTTTGTCACTGAAAGGAGTACCAAAGAAGTACATTAACCTTATAAAGACTCTCTACTCGAACACAAATGGTCGAGTGAGAGCTTGTGGCGAACTGTCATCAGAACTGATTACCTCAAGTGGTGTTCGTCAGGGCTGTCCACTCTCTCCATTCTTGTTTAACTTTGTCGTTGACGTCCTTTTAGAGATGACACTTTCCTCGTCTAAATTTCTAGGAGTTGAACTTCTACCGGGAGATCCACTTGTTGACTTGGAATATGCCGATGACATAGTTCTATTTGGTGAAGACGCTGACAGAATGCAGAGTCTACTGACCACTCTAAGCAACAATGCAAGCATGTTCGGCATGCGATTTTCTCCCTCGAAAATCAAAATGTTGCTTCAGGATTGGGTTGCGTCGACACCGGAACTAGTGATAGGGAGTGAAGTAGTCGAGCGTGTCGACTGCTTCACTTATCTCGGAAGTCTCATCAGCCCTTGTGGTCTGGTGTGTGACAAAATCTCAGCACGGATACAGAAGGCTCGACTAGCTTTTGCCAGCTTGCGTCATTTGTGGTGTAGGCGAGATATCCGTCTATCAACCAAAGGACGTGTTTACTGCGCAGCAGTTCGTTCTGTCCTACTTTATGGCAGTGAAACATGGCCAGTAAGAGTAGAGGATATTCGTAGGTTGCTAGTATTTGATCATAGGTGTCTTCGAAACATTGCTCGTATATCCTGGGACCACCGAGTAAGTAGTGCAGTTGTTAGGAAACGGGTACTAGGTAAGGATGGCAAATCAATTGATGAAGTAGTGAAACTTAATCAGATGAGATGGCTGGGACATGTGTTACGCATGCCCGACCACCGACTGCCTCGACGTGCTATGTTTTCTGGTGTAGGAGTAGGTTGGAAGAAAGCTATGGGCGGCCAGACCAAAACATGGCACAAGTCCATAAAGTCACTGACAAGTGGACTGAGCCATGTTGGTAGATGTAGACTACTTGGTTGGGGACCGCGAGATGATAGCAACCGATGGTTAGAGATCTTGAATGACATGGCTCAAAATCGTTTGCAATGGTGCAGGTGCATCCACTCTCTGTGTTCTCTCAAACTCTAATCTTCTGTATTCTTCATGTCCCTTTTTTCCCTCCAAATTTATTTCACTGGGTTATACTCCTTAAATAACATCATCAAACCCTAATGTTCCCTATCACCACCTCTTCCACTACTGGATTTGAATCGATAACTGAATCTCTATGCTACTGTGGTATGGCAACTCGAACTGATGTACGTACGTACGAAGTTCCACGTTGTTACTGACTGAGTGACTGGTTGTATGCACGTTTATTATATTATTTATTTATTCAAACACATAAATATTGGTACAAGGGGGCACCAAATGTATATGCGTCACACAAAACAATGATAATTTGAAGAGAAGGAGAAAGAAAAAGTAATGAACGCGGGGAATTATAAAAAAAAGAGAGAACAATAATGGGGGAAACGGAAAGGTACAATCAGGAGAAATCTTTCAGTTAAGGAAGAAGCAACCACTTTTTATGAAGAAAGTAAAAGAAGGTTACAGCAGGATCACCGCTGGCTTCTATTCTGAGACATCTGATAACGTCTCTAGCCACTGTGTTACACCATCTCTAGGACCCGTGGCTATGTGAGAGCATTTCAAGAGGGTGAGCTAACTTTTCTCACCCTCGGCTGTACCAGGGCATTTGGGGGGCCTGATTAGGTATTCTAAATAATGCTTATGCGTGTTTGAGAAACTATATGTCGTAAGTTCACTCGAATCACTTTTTACTCCGATGAGTAAAGATCCAGTGGTTTAGGGCAATCTTCATAAGGCATGGATCTAAGCCCCTGAACTGATTTCGTGAATCGTATTTGAACAGATTTCGTACTATTCTTATCCTCTTGGAATAGAGGAAACACTTCGTACTGTAATTGAAGCCAAACAAAACTAAGTGAAAATTCCTGCTGGTAAGAAAGGCGTCTCAAAGTTACTGGTACAGAAACGCGCAATAAAGATTCCCGGTTAAACGTTGTTCGAGTGTCGATGTGGTTCAGTTTTATAGAAATCCTTTAGTTTTGCTGAACAAACAGTATGCAATTTTTTACCTTGTGTCTTCAGGTGTTTATTCTTACTAAGAAAATATAATTCAGTCCTTAGTAAGATTTTAGGGTTGGGTGAACAGACTTATTTGATTCTTGTAGTGCAAATATACTTTTCATCTCTTCAAACGAATAAATTATACCATAACTATTTTGTCGTTTCTCCGCCACATATTTTCAGTATTTTCTTGCTTTCATTTATTTCCTTTACGTAATGTTATGGCAAATGTACATAGTAAAATATTATGTTGATCTAATCAATCAACCGAAAGTTAAGAATAGTAGTTTTAGATAAACGTTTGTATGTCTGATGTAAATTGAAACAATTTATGCTCGGAATTATGCTAAATCTTCGTGGGGGAGGAGACGTGTCATGTAATAATGAGTAATAAATACGTCACTTTTCAAAATAGACTGCTTAGCATATTTATTTCCTTGTAGGGGCATTTATATAACAGGCTCTAGTATTCTAGGAGCAGCTGTCAAAGCACCTCGTATTCGTACAAAAAATTTGGTCAGCATTATTTTCTGTGAAGCTGTTGCAATTTATGGGATTATTACAGCTATTATTATGCTGAGTCAAGTTGGGGTGGGTTGAGTATTTTTTGATGCTTTCATTTTATACTGCTGTCATTTTGATTCAAATTTAACTGGTTATTAAAATTTGGATAAGATGAAATAGCCTTGTTGTGTGCTACAAGTTCTAAAGAAATATGCACTTATTTCTGACTTAGTAGTTTTGTGCTTGACAAGACGTAGGATTACACAAATCAAATGAGATTTGTGTGGCGCATATGTTTCTGGTACCCCCTTGCACCAATATTTATGTGTTCAAATAATAATAATTGCCTATTTTTACTTTGAATTTACGGTACGTAAGCATGCAATAAAACTACGTTTGTTCAGTCATACGCTACGTAGAACCTGACATATATGTATCGGTTCAATTCTCCGTACCAAATTAACATAGCGAGGTAAGGTTATCAAGAAAAATCCCGAAGTAGTAAGTATTTTATTATTTATTTTAACACATAAGTATAGGTACAGGGAGGCACCAAATACATATGCGCCACACGAATCTCAATTGATAAGTGTGAGGGCTGTGATACTGCCCGGGTGCCCAAACCGAAGCAGGTGGTTTTCTTAGGGGGCCACACCCCGATGTAGTAAGAATTGTAACAGTATTGGTAGTAGTGTAGAAGATTAGGTATAGAAAAAAGGCCTAAGGAGATTTATGGACTCTGGTTCAAAGGGAAGATTAGGAGTAAGTCCACCTGCGAACCATTTTGAACCATGTCAACCAAATTCTGTAAACATTGATTATAATAATTGCCCGGACCCAACCACATAGTATACGCAACTGTTAACATGTCTCAGTACAATAGTCAATGAATTAATTAACTAATACCATATCTTGGTCTCACCACTTGTAACTTTCTTACAACCTACTCCCACACCAGACAATATCGCCCATCGACGTAGGCGGTGGTTGGGCATATATAACTTATGTCCCAACCACTTTAGTTGATATAAATTAAGTATTTCACCAACCGATAATCTTGGCATTACTCACTTAGTGATCGCGAAATACATAATTAGTGCTTCGAAGATACCTATAATCGAATACTAATAAGTTTGCGGATCATCAGTTTAGAGATTTGGGTACGAAAATGTTAGTCGATTCAACCATAAACATTTTGCAGATGGTTGAGCAGAAAACTATGCAAAAGAATATGACTTGTAATCTAATATATAAACATGTCTACAATATGTAAAGTTGCATTCAATCACGTAAATTATTCTCTATAGTTTTCAGAAAAATGCCATTTTTCTCAGGTATAGCAACTGTCATAATTATATTTATTGCCATCAAAAATTTTAATCCGTTAATTGATTTTATCTGTCGTAAGTAAGATCGGTCTAATCTACAAGGTAATTGAAAAGTTCTGTTTTATATACATAAAAATTGTAAACATTTGTAACTTAATGCTGTATGATCCATTTCAGTTATTGACTTGAAAATAATAAATGTCTATGGTGAATGTAAGCCTTACTGGCAAACTAACCAAATTTAAGATGAGGACGTTTGTATTGTTGTTGCATCGCATATATGACCTGTATTTTTTTTCTTAAAGTCAAGCAATAAGTAAGTTAAACCTACCTCTATTTAATTATTAAGAAGCGTAGACTTAAACATCGGGCGACTAGTGAAAAGGGACTATGAATAATGCATTTCCGATCGTAACTTAGAAGTTGATATTGAAAATCAAATATAGCGAAAATTCCCATTTTGATCTTTGACGAAAAGAAACTAATCAAGCGAAAAAATTTCTTTTGAGTTAGTTTTTCTTCATGGCTCTACATAAATATATATATATATATATATATATATATATATATATATATATATATATATATATATATATATGATTTACAACAATGAAATAACACTCACGGAGTAGTTACTTTACGTAATAATTATATAATACATTTATTATAAAATAATATTTCGTAATTAGAAGAAAGAGGAATATAATCGGAAGATTTAACAGTCTCTACGTTGCCCCCAAATGCCCTGGTACAGCCGAGAGTGGAGAGAGTCCGCTCTCCCTCTCGAAATGCTCTCACATAGCCACGCGTATATAACCTCTGCCAGGGAAGTCCTACTCACTGCCTTCTCGTGGCGAGGGTGTTGTTTACGAAAATGAGAGGACGAAAAGCGAACGTCCGGCGCTATAACCGGATCCCAAATCAATGGTGCACATGGGCTCCAGTATCCTGAAGGAACAAATGTCGTATGAACCAATCGTTGGTTGCCGGCTACCATGGGACTGCATCTCCTTACGATGCTCCACTGCCTTGTGGGTCAGACGTTCAGGTCGAAGGTTCGGGGTGTGACTCCCTAAGAAAACCACCTTGTTCGGTTTGGGCACCCGAGCAGTATCACAACCCTCACACAAATCAATTGAGATTTGTGTGGCGCATATGTATTTGGTGCATCCTTGTACCAATACATATGTGTTAAAATAAAAATAAAAAAATAAATAAACGTTGCACAACATATAAAAAGAAAGAACTAGCATAATATTTTGATGGAATGTCAGTATTATAGCAGTTATGTAAGAATCAAGGGACAAATATTGAGAATATGTAAAATACAAAAGTGGAAGAAATCAGTAAGTAGTTAAATATTTTTGAAGGAAGGGATTTCATGGAAGTTTAGCCACAAACTCACTCCTATACCGATGGACAAAGTAGTAAGAGTGGTTGTACAAACTTTTTTTTGGATGCAAAATCTGGGTTTGTGAACATGGATTCAGTTTGCTTCAGCAATGTGCAAGAGACGAACTCGTAAACTATGTGGCAAATTTGATGGAATATGGTAAATCACCTTAAAAGCTTTATTCAAGTCAACTTGATGACCTGTGTCCCACCAAGTAAGCAAGAATGGAACTCTTAATCACTCTTACTTGTCCTTTGCTCAACCAAGATGGATAATGTTTATTTATTTATTTATTTTAACACATAAATATCGGTACAAAAAGGCACCAAATACATATGCGCCACACAGATCTCATTTGATATGTGTGAGGGCTGTGATACTGCCCGGGTGCCCAAACCGAAGCAGGTGGTTTTCTTAGGGGGCCACACCCCGAGCCTTTGACCTGAAGATCTGATCCACAAGGCAGTGGAGCATCGTGAGGAGATGCAGTCCCATGGTAGCCGGTGACCAACGATTGGTTCATACGCCATTTGTTCCTTCAGGATACTGGAGCCCATGTGCACCATTGGTTTGGGATCCGGTTATAGCGCCGGACATTCGCTTTTCGTCCTCTCATTTTCGTAAACAATACCCCCGCCACGAGAAGGCAGTGAGTAGGACTTCCCTGGCAGGGGCTGTATACGCGTGGCCATGTGAGAGCATTTCGAGAGGGAGAGCGGACTCTCTTCACTCTCGGCCATACCAGGGCATTTGGGGGCAGAGATAATGGATAATGTTCTGCTATGCGATGGCGGACTTGCCGAATGAAACGCCCTATATAACTGGCTCCACAGGAGCAGTTGAATTGTCAAATACATATGGATGTGGCGAATTCAGGCAATCCGTCTTTATTGACGGTTCTCATTATAGGGCGGTTATAGGAAACGGCATTCAGCCTGGCCTCATTAAATGTTTTTTGTGCAGCCTTTCTTAACCTTTGAGTCATACTTTTCTCGGTAACATCATTTAGGAATTTTAACTTTAAGAACAGCACTTTCTTTGGAACGGCAGATACGTTTGATCTTCTTTTCATCGCTTTCATATGTTTGTTGATGAGTTTCATTGGGTATTCATTCCTACTAAACAGGCTACTATTATTATTATAATAATCTACAATGGTATCATCAGAGCAAATCATTTTAGCACGATGAGTCAAGATCTTTATGAAGTTTCTTTTTCATAAAATTATCTATATACCTACAGAATTTTCTTTTACGGAGTTCTTAACAGTTACTTTTCTTAATCCTAGCCCTCTTTTTGAGTTTTACACCATAACATATTTATATCTCCTGCATTTTGACTAACCGAAAATCTTTTCAACTTTTCATACATTTATAGTCTTACAATCCTGCGGGTGCAAGTGAAGCCGTTATTCGTCAAGCACATCGTGCAGGCTATGCAATGTTTGCGGCTGGATTAACTGTTGGTTTTTGTAATCTTATCTGTGGTATATGTGTCGGTATGGTTGGTTCTGGTGCGGCTTTAGCAGATGCTGCAAATTCTGCATTATTTGTTAAAATACTTGTAGTGGAGATTTTCGGTAGCGCAATTGGATTATTTGGAATAATTGTAGCTATTCTTCAAGTAAGAAATGTCATTTATTCTAATCAGTTTATGATCAAATGCTATTTGATTTGTAAATAGTCTTTATCTGGTATTATTATAAATGTATGTAACCGATGTTTTTGTTTAAATTGTTTAGAAATTATTGAGTGTTAGGCTTCTAAACATTGAGTCCCAGGTCTGATCCCAAATCTGCTTGGATTCTTGCAACTGTGAATAGTTTTTACTAATTCCCACATTAAACTAGTGTAACTCATTTTTTTATCTCATCGGGTACAAATCATTGTACTTTCCTTCAACGTACTCTCCAAATGTGAGGTCCAAATATATGGAGTGGGGTTCGAATCTGTAACTTTGGTGGTTGAGAGTTGAAGGTCTCAATCACTGAACCATTGCTCCACTCAAAGTTGAATAAATGACCTTGAATTTGGTTTATAAGTTACACTTAGCTAGTATAAGTAATTTATTTAAGTAGATGTCTTAGAGGAGATACATTTTATTTGAGTTCAGATTGTTATTACAAATGATTTCAAAGCAATATTTATCTTTGATTTCATTGTTGCAACCTCTGAGAAGATCTACATCACCATTATTTTTTCTATAGACTTCCGTATTGTGTTCTTTAATTCGTGTTATTTATCAGTGTGAGGAGTTTGTGGAGGTTGTTGAGTTTGATGGGTCATGTTAAGAACTGAATTAAGTTAGACATTCACTGAACAGCAAGAAACATTAGACAGCTGTTTTATCCTAATATGCAACCTTTCAGTGGTGTCCGTTCAAAGACCTAATAAGATCTATGCTATAAGGTTACTCACTACAATATCAAACACCATCCATTTGGTGATAGAGTCTTATTTGACCAAGGTAAAACTGAGTTGTGTAAATTTATTCATTTGATATTCGAATAGACATTACACATAGATTTTAGGTTATGTATAGTTTTATTCCAACCGGATGACACTTTGCGACAATCATAACGCTACTTAAATTATAAGTTGAGTGACAATATGTCTTCTCGTTAATCCTGAAGACATATTGTGCGTCTGAGTGATATATAGTCTTCTATTGTTTTAGTATTCCTTGGCCACGGTACTTCGCTCGACTCTGCTCATATTAAAACAAAGGGGCGCAAACAAATGTATAATATATATTCTAACAACCCTTAAAACAAAGATACAGTAATGAAGATATTAGAGCTTGTACAGAATTCACGTAGGAATCTTCCATACGTCTACCAACGCTTATCAATTAGAAACCAACCAATCAGCCGTCTTCTTCTTAATTTCGACTAGACCATCCAGTAGTCAAGAATTTGTCTTGCTAACATTTGTCTTTTCTAGTTATTTATCACCTTATAATTCACACCAACACTTGCATATATATCATCCTGAAATTTGTATTCTTAACCTTGCTATTTTCAGATTTCTGGCAAGAAAATTTCTGATAAAGGTTGAAAAGTACTTAAGACTGGGGATGAAACAAATACTCTGTTCAGTTTCACTTTACTACTTTCTATACCTTAGTTTTTCTCATGATACTCTCTCTCCCCACATGTGTTACCATTTCTCTTAAAATTTAAGTTTTACGTATCAGCTGTGTTCGTAAACTCTCTCCCCTTTCTCTCCTTCTCTCTCTCTCTCTTTCCACCACTGTTCTATTTCATTTATTCGAAAATTTCCGTCTATTATGGTTAGTTGAAATGAAAAACTGATTCATTTTCAACTCAGTAAATAGTGTTTATTACTTATGTCATATTTATGATCAAAATATCAATTTGTATTTTTCATTTCTCTTATCATTTGATATAAACCTATTATAATTCAATGCATAATATTTGATATCATTATTGTTCTGATTAACCAAACGTGATAATGATGTGTTTTACTCTAATACGCTATTATGCTATTCACATTCCTTTCATTGTGTGTGCGTGTGTATTGATTAAATAAATATATATTTCTTAGTAATTGTATCGTGTTTTACATCCCTACATCAGAAAATAAATATATATTCAGTTAGTCAGTCCTAAGCAATGTAGAACTTAGCACATACATGGATCAGTTTTAATTTCTCACACCAATACATCAGCATGGAGAAAAGGAATTATTAAGATGAATATCATAGTTTTAGTAGTAGTATCAATGGTAATTAAAAAGAACACTAGACATAGAGAACGTGACTCGTGACCCTGGTGGTTCGCATCTTGCTTATACAGCACAGTGTGACAGTCAGTTACTTCATAGATATCTTATGTTTTGGTTTGGGTGGTCGTAACTTCCAGCATAATCTTATAGGACATCGCGTGTCGAGGCATGCCGGGGGGTCAGGCATACGTAACTTCCTTCTCAAATACAATTGATGAATGTGCTACTTCATCAACTGATTTACTTTTGCATCTAGTCTTAGAATTCTTCGCTCGATGACCTTAATATACCCGAGGGATTCTTCGTTGGCATCGATGATCAAATGTTAGTAACCTAAAGAATGTTCTCTACTTCTAAGGATCATGTTTCATAACACAATTGGTCCTGCTGGTGATAATTTGATTTTTTCTAGTACTATGTTAAACTTCATGATGATGCTAATAATAATTAGTCAAGAAAAGTAACAGATTTGTAAATCATTAACTCTTAGTTTAATTCAGGGATAATAACTAGAGACTATGTTTCGAAGAATTTAGAATTAAATGTGTATGTTAGGTAGTCTAACAGGCACATTTAAAATCAATACGTTTTGCCTGGAGAGTTTGATAGATTTGGGGAATCGGATTATATTGGAGAGAGGTATTTAGATAGTAGATTTAAGTCATTTTAAAAGTTGTTTAACAGCTAATTTATTACTAATCATAGCACGCTGGTTCAAATTTCCCCATTAAAAGATATCATTAAGATATAAATGACGTAGAATCGAAAAAGATATAGGCATCCTACCAAGTTGCCACGTTATATCGACAGAAATGAAACTGTTAAGTTGAATACTATTTCAAATGTGTATTTACAACACTAACCATTTATCTTATCTTGTAAATAGAAAAAAAACAAGCAATATGTTATAGTTACATTTTACTTCAACACCTTTTACTTAAACTGGAAGAGCATTTATTCTAAATTAGAAAACGTTCATCAATAAGTGTTTTTCTAGCTGTATTACGACGTCCAAGATCATCACGTAATAAAGTGAATATCTGAAATAAACAGAAACGGACAATAATGATCTTTATTCAATGAAGTATTAATTTACTATTATTATTATTTTTTAGAATAGATAGATTTTCATTTGCAGTTGAATCCAAGTGAGATGCTTTTTCGTCCTGTTTGGGACTCGTCAGTTGAATATACTTGCATTCCAATGCTGATGTTTAGATTGAGACTTAAACTAAGTACTATTCGCTTTAAACGTTGACCTGTTATCCACTAAACAACTAACAAAAGGTGTGTGGTGTCTATCATCATCCTTTATTAATGAAGTTCAGAATACGCCAAACATTTGCGATAATGACTTCATAATCGTTTTTTAAACTCATGCAATCTGTTTGACATATAAAATACGCATAAAATTATGAAGCAGAAATGTAGTAGGTTTGTTACCAGGATTTTTTAGGTTACAGTAATAAAAGAACATGTACAGGGTTGCAGTCAACCTTACAATTCTAAAATACCCTGGAAAAGATTATTATTAGTAACATTAGTTAAAATACTTGGGAATAAGACAGATGAATCGGCTATTAGATTCTTCTTGAAATTTTCCAAATACATAATATAGACATTCAGTCTATAAAGGTTGTAACGAACAATTTTAAACATTTGCTAAAACTTTATCATTTACTCGACGTCAGATTGTATCTTCACATCGATCGGGTTCACTTAAACTAATTTTCTCAGATTGCGCACTCTTTAAGATTTTACCATAACATTTAGGTCAATTGGACAGAGATGAAATAAATTATTGAACTTAAAGTTCGAGGACAAAGTTGTATTGGTGATTATACTAATGACGAGGGAGCAACAGTAGCATCTCTGAGGAAACTGCGTTTTTACAACGAAAGATCTGGCTAGAAAAGATTAGATTTAAAATAATCAGGCCTCATTTCCCCCCATATCTTTCTGATGTCGCAGATAAACCTTCAAAAGTGAGCTGAGCTAATAAGTCACATGCTGTTCACATAAAGGTCTGATAGGATCATCGTCAACTAATCGTCTCTGGTTGCCTTGTTATAATTTTGACATTATTACCTAACGAGGAAACACTTTTCTAAGAGACAAACTCATTTGTTAGTGTAGGGAGTCTGTTGTATACCAATGAGTTTGGGATATGGTTGTACGATAAAGTGAACTGTTTGAAGCAAAACATGTACACCATTGGATGCCAGTTCAGTGATCTAAAGAATTAGCTCACAGTTGTCCAGTGATTTTAGTTTTTGATGGCTATCTAAAGTCTATCAGCAATATGAATTATAGAAAACATTTGTAGAGTTGGTAGTCCAAATAAACTTTTACATTGGATAAAAAGTAAAAACTTACACTTCCTATTAGAATGACAAAAAATGCTGATAATATTAGGTTTTGACTTAATAAATCCACTAAACAGAATAGAAGTGCATCGAATGTGAATAACAACCATTCATTTCCATAATACAGTGTATCACCAAATGAATTACCGTCATCTGTAGATGCAAGAAAATTTATATGTATATCAAAGAAATTTGGTAAGAATTAAACTGCAGTCCTAAACATCATTGAGATGATTCAAACAAACAATACCAAGTGAATTTAAACTTCACCCCATTTCATAAGCAAGTGAGTATCAGGACTCAGTAGCTAAGTGGATAACGCGAATGGTAATGGGTTCGAGTCCCAGAGTGAAAATCAGCTCTGAGATGCAGGTACGTCCAGCTGACGAATCCCAAACAGGACGAAACGCGCGTCCTGTATTCCAATGCTAGCCACTATCCATCTTTGCTTATAATTGTACAAAGAGTTATTATTTACATTTTTATTATATAATTAGATGCTTGGACTGTTGTATTCTTATATTTACCTGTTTTTAAGCTTTCATTGTCATACATTATATCCTTTTAGATCCATTTCTAATTAATTATTCCCTTATTATTCTGATTTTGTATCCCTTATGTCTAAGTTATGCTTAAATTTTAATTCTTTGATTATATTACTGTGTAGGTGGACATTTTAAGTACATTATTGTGTGAGTTCTGAATCATTATCGACTTGAATACAACAGCGAAATGATCTATATTTTATTGTGGTCTTCTGATTAGCCACTTGGTTAGGTACTCGAGGACCAATATGCATTAACGTCTTGGTTTTTTTACTGTTTGATATATATCGATTAGTAAATAAGTTACTTGTGCTACTGGCAATATAAGTGAACTAACTTATAATCGGACTATCATTACAACCTAATCAGACGAGTCCCAAATAACTCGTATGTAGTTAGCTGGGTAGCAAATGTACATATGTATTCCTTTAATTATGAGATATATAATGGAGTATGATAAATTGCTTCATTTACTGGTTTCTAACCCATATTTTGTCAATATTCATTGATGTTATCTAGATCTGGTTCTTTGTTGAGCACTTGAACTTTAAATGTTTGCATTCATCAAATTATCACTAATATTATAATATTTAAACAAAATTCTTACCAATATAAAATAATCCTTCAAATGTTGTATCATCAAATTCACCATCAAGAATATCTTCGAATGCTTTACGACGAACAATTCTGTAGCGTAAACCATCAGGATCATCCTTAATGCAAATAAACAATAACGGAGAAATGATACGGTGAATTTTTAAGATTGAAATGAAATTTAATATTATACTGTGAATGTAATTTAGAAGAATACAGAATCAATTACTTACTTGAACAAATCAATAATGGACAAATAGCTGTTCGTTATTTAACGACATACTAACTGCTAAGATTAGATATCGATTCAGTGTTAAATTACACTAGAATATTCAGCACTCACTTACTAAATAAAAGGAGAAATACCCTTTGTGTAATGTCTAGTACTGTGTCAAACCCATATAGGTTATTCTAGCCTCGGGATAAACTAATTTATTTGTTTTTTTTGAGTCAGATTTTAATAATGTTAATTATTTGTTTATTAAACTTGACTGTTTTTTATATGAGTGTATGTGTGTGTATTACTTACCCTACTCATTGAGTGTCCACAGTTTACATTTGTTTGGCTATAAATATTGAGTCACGTCTGATCAAGTCGAGTTGGCACGTTTGCCTTTTTCACTTTACTTTCACGCTTTCTCTTGTGAATATCTATCTGGATAACCGAGTACTTGAAATTAATTCATTCAACACAACCCATATTCGGCTTGTTATTACTTTCGTCACAGAAACAGGATTAACCTAGGTAATATACGGAGTTAAATGGCAGATTTACGTTCGTAGCATTTTCATATTGAGCCGAAAAACTAGATAAAACACACTCATTGAACACAGAAAGTTGCTGATAACCTTAGTCAATAAGGACCTTGGACAATGTTCTCTTTAAGGTTTGTTTGATTCGCCTCACATTTTAATGAATTACTTTGTTAGTCAGGCATCTAGTTTATCAGTTTGTTCTAATCCTATTGGACTTGAATTCAATTGTTAGTTGAACGGACATATGAAGTGCATGAAGACGGATATGATTTGACGTGTTAAATTCACTAATCGTAATTCTAATGCTTATTGTTCTCTGTCTCTTATCTAATAATCCTTTTATAGTTTAACGTCCTAGACATGATCAATTACACTCCTGATACACACAGTTATCCATGAGCCGATGTAATTTCTCAATAGTTTCTATTAATCCACTATCCGTAAGCCCTCCTTTATCTTCTGTTTCAAACTTTCCCAATACTTATTCGATTATACCATGACCAAAATGTTTTTTGTACAATCTACGCACTCTCACACAGTATGTGCAAATTGTGTCATATTATGACTTGAGGAACATTCAATTTTTATTAATATATTTATGGTTAAGTGAAATTCGATATCAAATCTACAACTAGATACAACTTTTTCATCTACTTTCTGAGGAACAAAATGTTTACCTTGTAAATTAAAAATAAAGATCACCAAAGATATTTGTTCAGCTGTTTCGCTTAGTTAATTTGATTGTCAAATCGCTTAAACATAGCTGATATAACGGATGGTTTGAAATATATATATTTTTTCGCTCTCTCTCAAATGTACTACGATAATACGTTGTTAATATCATAATGAAACTATTCACGTTATAGCAGATCCAGGATTCATGACCCAGAATAGAGAACCAGATTAACACTAGATAACATTTTATTCAACATAATTACAAACAGCCACTCTCGGAAAGTTCGGAGTAGCAATCGATTAGAACAAACGAAATCACATACTTAGTACTTAATAGATATTCTATCGATTGATTTTAGTAGTTGAATCACATAAAGTCTTCTCTATATCCAGAAGTCAAGTTGTCCCATTATAATTTTGTCCTCGTCTAGCTTCAATTGACTCATGATTTCAACCGGTGAAATCTCTAAAATATGCACAAAACCCCTCCTGATAATAATCATCTCCTAACTAGTAACTGACTTCAAGAGACACTCCTGGAGTTCTAGTGAAAAGCCGTGACCAGTGGAATTCAACCAGGTCTGTTGTGAGATATCAGCTCACTGAAGACAATGGTGACTGTGGAGCAAATTCGTAAATGGGTTGAAGTTAGACATTAACACCGTTGGATGCCGGCTCAGCGTGATCGTGGATGCGCACTTCTGAGGAGTCCCATACTAGGTCGGAACGGCCGTCCAGTGCTTCCAGGTTTGCCATGGTGGTCTAGCTTCAATTGACTCATGATTTCAACCAGTGAAATTTCTAAAATCTCCACAAAACCACTTCTGAAAATATTAATAAACTCTTCTAAGCTCTTGTCTTCTTTTATAGGTTCTATCGATGAGCACTATTTTTAAAGTTACAAGTGTTGATTTTTAGCTTGTCGAGTTCACATTAAATTTCGTGCATATTAGAATAATCTTCATCATTCATAACTAACAATGATCATAGACAGAACCGTACCATATCAAAGGATACAAGACAATACAAGTTGTTTTTTGAATGGTGATAATATTACTTTCCACTTTTGATTGAAAGGGAAATAATCATGAATTTAAGGTTTGTTTACATAATGTTTTATAATAAATCAAATAGAAATATTTACAATTAAACTGTAAGATTATAAACTTACTCTTGAAATGAATCTTTTCAAATATCGATTAATATTATGATATACTTCATTTGTGATTGCCTGTGATGAAGCATGTTTACCATATTTATCAGTATTTAAAGTTAAATTAAGTAATGGTGTATATAAACGATTAAATGTTTGACGTAATCCTGAAGGTAAAGCCATACGATACGTATGATCATTTGAGTCTGGTGTAATACCACGTTTTGGTGCTATACCTTCATTTTCAATTGATAACATTTGTGTTATACCGCCTAAATCAACATCAGAACGACCTGTTGGTGAATGTCCATGAATATAATAACCGAAATTAGATTGAGCAAATAAAAATAAAGAAACATTTGCTACACTGCATAAATCAGCGAAACTACGTAATTTATCAGAGAAACATCTCTCCCATAAGGTGATTGAGAAAAGCCATTGAATGATACCTATAATGAATAATATTAAAAAAAAAGATATAAGTTAATCAAATTTCTTAACATTTAACAATAAATATTGATTGTTAACATACAGGGCATATAAAGATTGGTCAGCTTTTACAGCTTACAACAGAGATTGACCAGTAATGACAATCATCAGTATAGGGGATTTGCAAAGATAATAAAGTTTTCTCAGTTTAAATCCTTAACTGATCATAGCTGGACCACTATTGAAAGCCTGGAAGCACTGGAAGGCCGTTCCTTCCTAGTATGAGATTCTAGATCGTGGATGCATACTGCTGGAAAGTCTCGTACTAGAAAAAAAACAACCGTCTATTGCTTCCATGTTTTCAACCTTGGTTTAAGTACAATCAGTTCGTGAGTTAATAATTATCCAGTTAGCACTAATGAATGATCTTGAGAGGAAAGTTTTGAAAATCAAGTTTGTGAATTTGTGATTAGTGTGATTTTAACCATTTCAAACGTTAGACATGTACGCATAATGTTTAGACATTGTAACGTGTTAATTGAAAGTCGAGAATAGAAACTATTGGGCGACAACATAGTTTGAAATTTAAGCGCTTACTATAAAATGTGAAGGTTTCAGTTTCAATCTCGGGTGAAGTTGTTCATGTCCATAGCTCAAAAGTTCCATACATATAGCATGAAGTAACCATCCAGTACTCTCTGATTTTCATTAGTTATCTAGTTAAAACTAGTTTATGATGTTACCTAGGTATATATATCTAATTGTTCAAATAATTTTATGAATCGATTCAGATGAAATGAAGTTTACGAATGACAAAATGGTATGCTCAACTTGACAAAAGAATCCAAGTTTATATAAAATGTAGTTTAAGATGTTCTATATCAATCATTATTTTTAACGAAATAATGTCAAGACATAACCTACTTTTTGTGTTTCATTTATCCCATTCACGAAATCCATCACTGTCTTAGTTTACACACTTTTGGTAGACTGGGAAAATTTCCATCTATTCTCAAATCTCGAACTGTAAAACTAAGAAGAGAGATGAGTGCCTACACCTAAATTTGATCAATCGCTTAGTAGTGAGTGATCACGTTTGTTTAACCCTTACAGTTGATGGAAATACATCTACCAAGTAAGGTACCATTGACTATTTTCAGCCATCTAACACCTTAAAACAGTACAATGAGTGTCAAACCGTTTAAACTAAAGGCTATTTTCCAACTTGATTGTTGGATTTTGATCAGCATTAAGGACCAGAAAAACATAATATCTGTCACTATCTAGTGATTAAACAATTGTACATATCTCAGTGCTACAAATCAGTCTCGGTTTGAGTAGTTCGTGAGTAACGTCTCATATTATGAAACTAGGTAATGAGGGTTCGGGTTCAATAGAAAGAGTCAGTTCCCTGAAGATTTGAGATGATCCATGTTGATGAGCGTAACAACTAAAATGAAGCTCAGCTCAGGAAGTTATTTATTATAAAACAGGTTAACACAATTAACTCTTATTTATAAATGACAAAAGAAGGCATGCATGTAAATGGTATGCCAGTGAGCTATTCGGAACCATTTACAAACAAACAAAGTTTTTGATATTTGTTACATTGTAATCATTGAAATAGAATTAGCATTCAACTGAAGTAGAATGTACACTCTGTCATTTTAGTACATTTGAATAACGTACTAAAATTTCGTCCACTGAAACAGACTAAAAAGAGTAACTATCCAAAATTTAAATTTGTTTTCACTCTCACGTTTTTAACTCCGTCAGTAGCTCTTATAGAGTTTCTGCCGATACCAAGCCTGGGTAAAGGAGGAGGGTTGGGCATGGGGTTAGCGTCCTCATCCCATAGAAAACTAACTCGCTAAAAAAACGCTAACCAGAAAAATAACTCAAACCATTTAAACTCTGCCGTGGGAGTTAGAAGGTCTTCATTTACAAAAAATATGACGCCTCATGGTGAAAGCCGAGTACCTTCAGAAGCCATGAGGCCGATGCCCCTTCTAACAACCAGAGTAACAATTTTTATAGGTACATGGAACGTCCGGACAATGTGGGAGACCTGGAAGACCAGTCAAATAGCAACGGAAATGAGGAGATACAACTTGGCAGTACTAGGAATCAGCGAAACCCATTGGACCCAAGCTGAACAACAAAGGCTAAATACGGGAGAGATGCTGTTATACTCCGGTCACGAAGAGGAAAATGCTCCACACACTCGGGGAGTTGCTCTAATGCTGTCAAAAGTAGCACGAAATGCACTTGTCGGATTTGAATCCCACGGATCCAGAATCATCAAAGCATCCATCCAAACAAAGAAGGAGGGGATCACAATGAACATTATCCAATGTTATGCACCCAACAATGATAGCAACGACGACATTAAAGATCAATTCTATGAGAGGCTGCAATCAATCATAGAGAATTGCCCAAGAAAGGACCTCACCATTCTGATGGGAGATCTAAACGCCAAAGTCGGAATAGACAACACCGGATATGAAGATACCATGGGACTACATGGACTGGGAGAGAGGAACGAAAACGGGGAATGATTTGTAAATCTGTGTGCATTCAACAAATTGGCCATAGGCGGCACAATATTTCCACACAAACCTATACACAAAGCTACGTGGATCTCACCGGACCACACCACAGAGAACCAGGTAGATCATATTTGCATCAATAAAAAGTTCCGAAGGACAATGGAAGATATGAGAACCAGGAGAGGAGCGGATATAGCTTCAGATCACCACCTAGTTGTGGCCAATTTAAAACTGAAGCTAAAGAAGAACTGGACAACTGGACAAACAGCGCTGCAAAGGCTCAATACAGCCTTCCTTCGAGATACTGACAAACTCAATGAATTCAAGATAGCTCTCAACAACAGGTTCCAAGCCCTACAGGATCTACTGAAGGAAGAAGAAACTGCTATGGAGGACAACTGGAGAGGTATCAAAGAAGCATTAACTTCAACGTGTCAAGAGGTTCTGGGCCCCAAAAGGAATGGACCTCTATAGAAACACTGGACAGGATCAAAGAAAGGAAGAACAAGAAGACAGCAATTAACAACAGACGAACACGAGCAGAGAAAGTCTAAGCACAAGCTGAGTACATAGAAGCAAACAAACAAGTGAAGAAGAGCATTAAAGCCGACAAGCAGAAATACGTGGAAGAACTAGCAACGAAGACAGAGAAAGCTGCAAGAGAAGGAAATATGAAACAGCTTTACGATACAACGAAGAAACTAGCAGGGAAATATAGTAAACCAGAGAGACTAGTCAAAGACAAAGAAGGAAGACCAATCACTGAGATTCGACAACAGCGGAACAGACGGGCAGAGTACTTCGAGGAACTCTTGAACAGGCCGGCTCCAATGAATCAACCGGACATCGAAGCAGCATACATAGATCTTCCTATAAATGTCGATCCACCAACGACCGAAGAAATCAGAATGGCCATCAGACAAATCAAGAGCGAGAAAGCAGCAGGACCCGATAATATACCAGCTGAAGCACTGAAGTCAGACATCGAAGTAACTACAAGCATGCTTCATCTTATATTCAAGAAGATTTGGAAGGAGAAACAAGTGCCGATGGACTGGAAAGAAGGACACCTCATCAAGATTCCAAAGAAAGGAAATCTGAGCAAGTGTGAAAACTACAGAGGCATTACACTACTGTCAATACCAGGAAAAGTCTTTAACAGAGTGTTACTGAACAGGATGAAAGAAGCAGTAGACGCTCAACTTCGAGATCAACAAGCTGGATTCCGTAAGGACCGGTCGTGCACAGACCAGATTGCGACACTACGGATCATCGTCGAACAATCAATTGAGGGGAATTCGTACATCAACTGTACATCAACTTCATTGATTATGAGAAGGCATTTGACAGTGTAGATAGGAGAACGTTATGGAAACTTCCTCGACACTATGGAGTTCATGAGAAGTTTCTCAACATTATCCGGCACTCATACGACGGACTACAGTGCAAAGTAGTCCATAGAGGACAGTTGACAGATGCATTCCAAGTAAGGACCGGAGTCAGACAAGGCTGTGTACTCTCTCCCTCCCTCTTTCTTCTGGTGGTCGACTGGATTTTGAAGACCTCGACATCTGAGGGAAAACATGGCTTACGATGGACAGCTCAGAACCAATTAGACGATTTGGACTTCGCAGATGACCTAGCCCTCCTATCGCATACATACGAACAAATGCAGATAAAGACAGCCAGTGTAGCAGCAGTCTCTGCATCAGTAGGCCTCAACATAGACAAGGGGAAAACCAAGATCCTCAAATACAACACGGAGAACAGCGATGAAATCACTCTTGATGGCAAAACTCTGGAAGATGTGGAATCCTTCACATACTTGGGAAGCATCGTCGATGAACAGGGAGGTTCAGATGCAGACGTCAAGGCGAGGATTGGCAAAGCAAGGGCAGCATTCCTTCAATTGAAGAACATATGGAACTCAAAGCAACTTTCAACCAATATCAAAGTCAGAATTTTCAATACCAACGTCAAGGCAGTTCTGCTGTATGGAGCTGAAACGTGGAGAACTACTACAACCACCATTAAGAAGGTACAAGTATTTATCAATAACTGTCTACGCAAGATACTCAACATCCATTGGCCGGATACCATCAGCAACAACCTACTGTGGCAAATAACTAACCAGCTTCCAGCTGAAGAGGAAATTAAGAAAAGACGATTGAAATGGGTAGGACATACATTGAGGAAATCATCAAACTGCATTATGAGGAAAGCGCTAACTTGGAATCGTGAACGGAAGCGGAAAAGAGGAAGGCCAATGAACACATTACGTCGGGAAATAGAAGTAGATTTGAAAAGGGTGAATAACAACTGGAAAGAACTGGAAAGGATTGCCCAGGACAGGGTTGGATGGAGAATGCTGGTGAGCGGCCTATGCTCCTTCACGAGGAGTAACAGGCGTAAGTAAGTAAGTAAGTAATTCTCATGTTTTTTCTATCATAACGAATACCAGTGTAAATTATTGATAAACGTAATCTAATGTTACACAATTAACTATTGAAAAAGTTTTATGGAGATTGTTTTGATTTGTAGGTTGTATTCGTCATAGATTAATGTCAGTTAAACTGTTACTACGTTTAAATATGTCAGGAATAAAACAGTTGTCAATAATGTTTTGAAAGATTATTAAGTTAAATCACAAATTGATTAGAGTTGGAATTGTACTGTTTGAAATTGACTTAGTATCTCCAATGGAGAGGTGTTTGCTGAGTGATATATCTAAAGGTCCTCAGTTTGGTATCTGATAAGGTTGTTAGTACACACTGCTAAGGAGTTGGCTTTGATAGCGAAACAGCTGTCCAATGTTCCTTGCTTTTCCTTGATGCCCTATCTAAGATCAATCTGTGATTAATGCAATCTATATGTCTTAGTGGTCCTTCATTTGACGTTAATTAATCGTTCGATGTTGTCGACGGGTTCACCACTTTAGTGGCCCGAGATCTGGCTTCAGTTGGATCGTATGATTGGATTATTGTTAAAATATACAACTTGACTATCCTCGAATATTACTATCCACTTAATCCGTGTTAGTGAATAACGGAATTAAATAAGCCATATACGAAAATGGGTTTTTGAATGAGTATATCTTGTACACTCATTGATTTGGACGGACAATCAGAGGGATGAAGCGAAGAGAAATGAGGTACAATGGAGAAGTCAAATGATCCAACTGCCTTTAATCAAGCGTCAATCAATATTTATAGTCACACATAAATAAGCTACAGACATGTAATGAATAGGATAAGATCTGTACACACATATATGCTCATATAAGAACAGTCAAGGTTAATAAGTGAATAATTAACAAGGTCAAAATGTGACTCAAGAAGAATGGATAAATTGGTCTGTCCAGAAGCAAGAATTAGTTATATGTGCTTAACATAGTAACTGATATTACAATGTAAACGATTCGTAAACTATCATGATAAGGTGATAAGAATGACATTTTATCTCGAGTTCAAATGAACTATATCTTCATATTGATAATAAAGAAATTTAATAGAACTTATCAAAATTACAACAAACAAACTTACCTATTACTGAAAAAATGGAAAGTATTAAAGCAATTCGAAATATACGACTTTGTGGACTTTGATATTCATATGAATTAAGTACAACATTGGATTTAGCATCTGATGATGCTAAATTTTCTAATCCAATAACCTAATATATAAGGAAATAATCAAAGTTTTCCCAAAATGTAAAGTTTAAATGTGAAAGCTTATTTAATAGTTAAATTCATGAAACAATTAAAGCTAGACCACCATGGAAAACCTGAAAGCCTCGGACGGTCGTTTCGTCCTAGTGTAGGACGACTCCACAATCCCGCTTCGTGAGATTCGAACCCAGGACCTACAGGTCTCGCTCGTGAACGCTCAGCCTCTAGACCGCTGAGCTGGCATCCAACAGTGTCTAACGATGTCTAACTTTAATCGATCCACAAAATTGCGTCACCGTTCACCATTGTCTTCAGTGAGTTACTATCCCACAACAGACTCGGTTGAACTCCACTGGTCACTGCTTCTTACTAGAATTGCAGGAAATACCTCTTACAGACCGTCACTAATGAGCATATGATGATTATAATCAGAGAGAGGTTTTGTGGATATTATAGTAATTTAGTAGTTGAATTCATGAGTCAGTTGATGCTAGACCATCATGGAAAACCTGGAAGCACTGGATAGCCATTTCGTCCTAGTATGGGACACCTCAAAAGTGCACATTATAAAATAATATTTATTATATAAGTTATCTTCCAAGTATATTACAGAAACTCAAATTATAAAGATTTTTAATTTTACAGAATTTATGGTACATTAATCATATTCACTTTACAATATATATAGTAGATTTATTGCATCTATTTGTAGATATTTATTGAAATATTAGTATAGACTTGTGAAGATTATTGAATTTTATTGATATCCCAAACTTATCTAATTTACACAACCATTGAAAATCGGAAATCATTGGACTGCCATTTTTTCTTGGTATACAACTAAACAGCGGTGCACATCCATGACTTCCGAAAAAGGAATCAAACTTAGGATCTTCAGTGTCGCGCACGAACTCCTGACCTTTAGACTATTGAACTGAGAAATAATGATAAATAATTTTAACTTCAATCAATCTGTGATATTGCGCCATCATCTATTGTCTTCGTGGGTAATTTCCTTATAACGGACATAATTAGATTCGACGGTAGTTTATTCTCATCAAGGATAGTTAAATAGACGAAAGGTTTAAAATATTTGTACATCACGTATATTAAATTGTATGACTTAGTCAATCCTCTTTATGTAAATGAAAATCAAAGGAAACTGTTTGTTAACAAGAGATTTCAGTAACTTAGGGTTTATAATCTAATCTATCAGTAATATTTAGTTAGTTTTTTATTATTATTTAGATTTATTCTAACCTTGATGTATCTTGTTTATATTCAATCGGCTATCATGACATTGTAGTCTTTGTTTTGCATTACTTTTATCTGCTGCATCCTTTTTATAATATTTGAGTGATTGATGCAACAAAATATTAGATAAATACAGAAACTTACTAAAGAGAAATTAATACAGTTCCTTCATGGCTTTCAATCGTTATAGCATAAGACTGAATCCTTCATAACTGTTCCATACATATGATATTTTGTGTACATTTTTCCTATTTGATTATGTAATATGTAGCTCTTGTACAGATTATGTTCAGTTATATTTTAGAAATAGATAGATTTTTGGAAAAATGAGTTTTATCCCTTTTTGAACTACGACTGCTTGATAGTTTTTGGAGACTTACTCTAAAATTATACCTGTAGTTAAAATTAGTCTATACACAGATTAAAATATAGCATCAATTCGTGAAATCATCCGCTACTGGCCTGGCCTGTGTGGAGTGGTGAGAGACCTTCGGTTGAGGTCCTTGAGATGTATGTAATCTGTGGACACAAATCAAATATGGAATAGCTGCAGTGTCACAAATACATTAATACAATATTTTTAAGAATTTGATCATGCTCACATCAACTTTATACGTCTATCTATCATTATCTAATTTTAATGATGAGCTATGGTGAGCCAGTAGACTTTTGTTGGCCAGATTGTATTTATGTTAATTGCAGATTGATATGCTCCGAATCTCATCATAGGATTGATATATATGTAGATGACATGTGATTTAACTTTTATTTCATTAGCTTTCACCTATCTCTTTTTGATCAGTGATATTCTTATTCTTACACGCTGAAGTTCCGTATATTTTTTATCATGTGAAACCCGCGGTATATCAAATGATTTAATTATCTAAGCTGAAAGGGTGAGGATAAATTCCGTTCTTGACCTAGCGACTGGCAACCTACGAAAATGAAGCGGGAATTATTACTTACATTGTCGTAATCCATGATGGAGAGTGTGTTTTTTTTCTCGATCATTTTTGGTGAGTTTCATGAAGTGTAAAGTTTTCTACGACGAAAATACCACTCCATCGCGATACAGACTTGTCAAATGTAGTACAGTCAGTTATGACGGAAGAAAAATTACAACATACCAAGTGTCATACCATCAATCAATTCTACAGTAGAAATTATTTCAAAATATATACAATGGAGTGACTAAATAAACGAAAACGTAACCGTAATCATTGACTACGATATGATTAGAATATTTGACAATGTGGAGTTTACCCCAGTCAATTAAAATTCTATATTATTGAATTTACAAAATGATCACTTCATTTCTAGCGCTTCATTTACCTGCATTAAAATAAGCACACATGCAATGGTAATTAAACAATTAGTTTTACGATATGTTTGTATTTCATTCCATTCGTTCGCTACATAAATTGTTCGCCATACTGATATACCAGTATCTTCCATTTGATTAGATATTGATAATGGTGGTAAAGATGATCGTAATTCTTTTTTAGGACGTGCCTCTAAATCATCTGTGACATCTTCAAGTTGTAATATTTTATCCAAAATTGTAAATATAGAATAAAGAAACAAGGTGAGAAGCAATAAACAATCTATATATTGTATAATTGAACAGTGAATATATTATTAATTAGATTGTGGTTCATATCAGAAGGATTTTTGTGGATATTATAGTAATTTCAATGGTTGAAATCATGAGTCATTTGAAGCTAGACCACAATGGAAAACCTGGAAGCACTGAACGGCCGTTTTGTCTTATTGTGGGACTTCTCAATAGTGCTCATTCACGATCTCGCCTGGAGAGATTTGAATCCAGGACTTATCAGTTTCGCGTGCGAGCGCTTAACCACTACACCGATGAGCCGGCCGGCATCTAACGGTGTTAATGTCTAGTTCATTAAAAATAACAAGCATATTTAAATATATTTTGACTAGAAATTAACTGAATTACATAAGTATCCATAAAAGTGCTATGATAAGACTTAAATTTAGATTCCGGTAGTTGAAATACCAAGGAGTTAAGACAGTCATCTTTTCTGTTATACACATGATGGATTGTTAATTACATTTACTCGAACAAAATGATTATTCTTTTTTGACATATAGAATTGATTTTTTTTCCTCAAAAAAAGTCAGCATTCATTTAAGGGCATGACAATAAAGTAATTAGACTAGTATTTAGTCAGTAATTATCATCTACATAACATTAATATGTTATCTAATGAATTTGTGATGTGAGCTACTTATATTCACATAAGTGGTATATAACGATGGTTAGGAATAGAATGTATTTTATTAGAAGATAGAAAAGGAAGGAACGAGAACGGAAAGCAATTGGTATGAACATGCATGAACAATGAAATCTGAGGTGATGGACTGATATTTGCAAAAGAAACAGTCAAGTTTGAGACAATTGATTGATATTTTGAGAATTAAATATTTACTGTATGGTTCTAAGATTTTAGTAAGATGTTCTTTAGGTTTATATTCAAATACATTTGTTTACCCCATTCGTGTTCTTGTACAATACAAAGCAAGTAATCGGATATCTTTTAAAGGTAACAAATATTTCAAAAGAAGTCATTGAATTCATTTTTAAAATGTGCCAAAAAATTAAAGTATTTTATAAAAGATTAACTTGGAAATGTCTACTTCCTTTGACTATTAGTTTCGTATTATTAATGATATGGTAGCAAAAACAAAACAGCCTATTAATCATAATAACCATAATTTATATTTGTTGTATGATGACATGTCTTAGTGAAACAATGACATATCTAGTTTATAACAGCTACGAATTATTCATTTAACATGAAATACCACTGTAGTGAACAGAATACGGGTGGGGAAGAATCGAATATGATTGACAACCAATTACAGTACATGTTAATAAAATCTAACAATCATATATTAAGTACTCAATTTGCAAAATGTCCATCAATTGTCTCAAAATGACTCAGAATTCATTGTTCTTTCATTTTCATACAAAATGAAGTCTGTCTTTATTCTTTACTGTTCGATCCTTTTGTCTCTCTACTGTCAAACATTCTGTTCACAACTAACATCATATACTACTTATGTCTACATAAGTAGCACACACCACAACACTTTTATTATTCATTCATATGTAAAACATAGTTACAATAATAAGATAGTTGACTGGTCTAACAATAGAATGAATTATTCAATAGAATTATTCAGACCATGTAGCAGTATGAATTAAAGCATTTGAAGTAGGAAAACATTTGCCTAACATCTCATTAGCTAATAGCACAAAATGTTGATATTTAATTTATTTTGTATTGTTTATTTGAATCTTCCCACTAATGTTTAGGATTGTAACTGATCAGTCTCTCATTAGTATATGTGCATCCTGTGAGGATTGCCTCGATACTGTCTTAGATCAAAAGCATTATATACAAAGATGGATGATAACTAACAGTGGATAATGCGTTGGTGTTTGAAGCCTACAGTACTGGGTTCGAGTCCCAGGGTAAACATCAACTCTGAAATGCAGATACATTCAACTAATAGATACTTTGACATCCAATATCTCTTAATTTGATGTCATTTCTGTGGAGTAAAATATTTTCTAAATTTCAAATAAATTAAGTGGTTGAAAAAAACATGAAAAATTATTGTTTATCAGTTCCATAGAAAGTTTCTATGGTGTTCGTGTCGTCTAATCATGTAACACACTGGCACAAGATAGTCTTAACATCCGATTGAGAACCAGATATAAAGCATAAAATGGTTATTAATTGGAAGAATTCAGATGTTAGTAATACATAAAATGAAGTATAGTGTATGGACAACCTTGAACTACTTTTTGGTTGACGAGTTAACACGGTTTGGTTATGAAATGATTTATCAGGATAATTTAAAACACTTATAACTAATAGATAGTTTCCATATGAATACCGAACTTATGTACATGAATTATTACAATTTTCATGATAAACTAACGTTAGCTGTAATGTATGAACTAATATCGCTCCAATATTTGCAAGTATGTATGATATACCAGACAGCATATCTACATTAATTGACCAATCTATGATCGCCATATCAAATGTGTATAAATTCAATATAGTTAAAGAGACTTGTCATTGTATTGTAGAAAATTTTATACATGCTTTCTTATTGTTAGAACTAAACATCAGATGAATGAATACTTACCACTAATCATATTATATTTTCCTAATGATTGACTTCTTGAACTTAATTGTATATCTGTGTTGGATGATGGATTAACATTATTTACATTACGATTGAATTTAGGCGGTTCCCAATCAATTAAAAATATATCCATTGTACATTGAACAGCTATTAAGTGTATCAAGTCAATACATTTCAATGCAAATGCAATTGAAATATAAATTACTATAAATTCATCAGAATTTGGTAGATTGATTAAGTAGACACTTTGTACCTAAAAGTAAGTAGATATTTATTGTTATTATTGTCTATATACAGGTTTATCTGAAGTGATTACTATCAGAAAGAGAGTTGATCACAATACCTGACGTCGCGATATACTCGACTTAATTAATTGTCCAATTGTTCAATAGAAAACCATATGAAGATCAAAAACGAAAGTTAATTGACTTATAATACAAAACAGCTAATAATTGGAATAGATTTTGCAATATAAAATAATCACTCATATTTGGTGTAGCTTGGTTATATATATATATATATATATATATATATATATATATATATATATATATATATTGGAAAAAGACGACACTTCTCTGCTCCCAGTCCATATATATATATAGTCAACGCCTGAACTAAGGATAGGGAGTGAAGTAGTTGAACGCGTTGACAACTTCACTTTTCTTGAAAGTCTGATCAGCCTTAATGGGTTGGTGTCTTATGAAATCTCAGCACGGATTGATAAAAGTCGTTTGGCTTTCCAACTTACGTCACATATGGTGAAAGCGAGATATCCGTCTATCAATTAAGGGACGAGTGTACTGCGCGGCGGCTCGTTCTGTTCTACTTAACGGCTGCGAAACATGGCCATTAAGAGTTGAAGATACCCGTAAGTTACTAACATTTGGTCACAAATGTCTTAGAAATATTGCTGGATTCTTCTGGGATCACCGGGTAAGTAATAGTGAAGTTAAGCAGTTACAGAGTATTGGGAATGATGGTAAATCAGTTGATGAGGTTGTGAATCTTCATCGACTGAAATGTTTGGGCCACGTGTTACGTATGCCTCAACACTGATTATCACGACGCGCAATACTGACCAGTGTTGGGTATGGTTGAAAGAAAGTTGGGGGCGGCCAAACCGAAACATGGCATCAGTGCTTGAAGACACTAACATCTGGTCTAAGTCATGTTGGTAGATGCAGACTACTTGGTTGGGGTCCGCGTGACTATCGTAACCAATGGTTGGAGACTCTGGGTGACATGGCTCAGAATCGATCCTAATGGCATCGGTGTATACACTCTCTATCTTCCCTTAAACTATGAGACTAAAATTATTTCATATATTTCTTTCTACTTACTAAATCTTTCTTCCTGTACTATATGCTTATATGCAATCTTTCTTTTATGTATTACCACCATTGACTTAACTACTTCTATGAATCCGTTGTTCATTTTGTTGTGCTAATGGGATGTGGCAACTTGGATCGATGTATATATGTGCCTGATCCTACGTTGTAGCTGACTGACTGAGTGACCTGGTTTGTTAATATAATGTATTCCCATCTTATTTACTTTAACTCATCATATAAAAATCTACAAGCTACATTCAAAATTGACCGAGTTCATCAAATATATTTCAGTAATATTCATATCAACCATTTGTCATAAGTAATCAAGAAAAAACTTATTTTTAATACAATATTAATTTGTACTGTCATATACTACTAACTTACCTTATAAAATATTAAAAAGTAAATTGAAACAAAATAGATGACAATTAAAAATGCATTAGAAATATTTCCTGCTGCAAATAAAATCAATTTAATCACTAACATAGCATCTAAACGTAATACACCAGCACGACGTGACCATATCCATGTACGTATCATTGCATAACATGCAGCCAATGTTGATATACAACCCACAGCAATACGTAAAGCTTGATCGAATGCAGCTTGTTTTGCAATTGAACTACTATAAGTAACTGAAAACGTAATCTGTTTTGTAGTAAAAAACAAGTAAATAAATAACAATAATATCTAACTAAGAAACTAGTCAGTATAAAATAGAATACAAGATTTGTAAAATTGAGAAGAATACTTTTGACTATTATTTTAATAATTAAGAAACAAGTTTAATAATAGTAATTGTATAATAAATAGGATATGTGACATATAAAGATTCTGGTAATAGGCTAAAAGAGTCTAGGCATATCACATGATCTTGACTATATTTTATCTGAGTATCAAACGGTGTGTGTGAGAAATAATAATTTTGACACATCATTGAGAGAAGTTAATCGTGGAACCTAGTCAAGATCTCTGAAGGAAATACATGAGCGTGCATATATATATATATATATATATATATATATATATATATATATATATATATATATATATATATATAAATGGATAAGCCTGTCACCAAGGAAAGGGTACATTATCAGAGCCTCATTAATGCAGCAATTCATACTTATTGCTCCGAGAGACACGCACTTAGTAAAACAGTTAGTACGTGACTATTTCTATCTAGTGAATGAACTATTGTTAATACATTGAGTGAGAAAAATTAAGCTGGAGTACTAAATCAGTTTGTTGAGGAAGCCCTAAAAAGCGTCATGTTGCGCTCGCATTAAATGGTCGTTGATATCTTCAGTGAAAAGTATTATTAAGTGTAGTGTCCGTTTACTGAAACCGTGACTGCATGTAATAACCGTAAGACTCCATACTTAGGTCACCCTCAGTGGTCTTTACATAACAGACAAGATGACTGATTGTGCTGTAGCTCGAACATTTGACCCATTCACTAGGACCGTATTCGACGCTTGGCGGTTGGGACAAATAACACCCAGCAAAAGTTTCAACATTGTCATCGTCAGACTTTTCAGTAGGCTCAGAGATTTCATTATTCACTTCCATATCCATTTTTGCTTCAACTCTTGCGAGTATTCCTGTCTCGAAAGAAGACTAATAACCTGTTGATTAGTTCGGAAGTTTCTCTACCCAGTAATCCGAATGCTATTGACATTAAATACCACTATCCCGTATAGAGACATAAACGCCTTGTTGCCTTTGTACTTGCCACCAACACCTATGACAGGGAAATCGACGAACTACACTTTTCGGGTCTGCTGTTGGAAAAAAGTAGCATTTGAGACAACCGTTCACCTTGCAGAGTCTCAGTTGCACCCCCAGGCTCAGTGATATGTGCAGCTAACGTCTCAAAATCACCAGCTAATTAGTGATACTAATCAAGCTTAGACTGATATAGATAAATAAACGTCGTTGCAAATGGAAAAAAATCTTGGGCGATTATCTTCTTTCCGTAAATCTCATACACAAAATTACTGACAACAAAATCTGCGGCTGCAGACATAAATAAAGGATGAATCGTATTCTTCTGCTCGGCTGTCACAGGATGAAAGCTAGGAACTTTCTCATAAATGATACGTAGTAATTTTTGTGAGTTTGACTTGAAACTACATAAAACCCTTCTATCAGCCAAAAAGTATGTAGGACTCACGACTGCTATCAATAGACTTTCTAGACCAATGAATAAACAATTTATTTCGAAACAAACCCTTATGTCACTTTAGTCGTTGGTCGCTGAGGGTGATGCCCCCCGGCATTTTATTGTCCGGCTAAAATAACGTTTTTTATTGATGGGAAAAGAGTACAGGTGAATGATGGGTGGTAGGGCGTTGTAAAATAAATTTTATACTCTTAAAAATCATTCCAGTCTAAAACATGTTACTCTTGTAGAAAGGTGTAAGGTGATAATGTTTATTAAAACTCTCATTCCGATAATAAATCGGCCACTGGTGCTTATAAGACAAAATGTAATGCACCGGTGACTATATTCCGACCTATTGGTAAAATGATGAGGACACTAATGTTTGATTATTATTTTTATTGAGTATACTTATTAAACTTCTATTCATGAATATATTTCACACTTACACTGTTCCTAGTTAATTTGACTAGTCTAAATAATATCTATTCAAATGATTAGGTCATAAAACAATGAGATACATATATGATGACAGATCTACCACAGTAATTTTTCCGTTTATTATTCCATGCTGTTTTATCTTGTTCTCTCTAGTTGTAGATAACTTAAGGTATCCAACAACCATACTGGAATCACTTTTCAATGCATTATTCATCCTTCTACATGAAATCCCAGTGTTCCAAATAAAAAAATACTGGTTTTAAACTGCTGCTTCACATTAGTTAAATCCTTGAGGAAATAACCTTTAACAACAAGTTATGAATCATTTTAAACAATGTACTGTTATATCTCTGTCTATTACACGTGAAATTCCTTTCTGTAGCAACTTGATTATGCCTACAAATTGGCATAGATTCAATAAATATTTTTAGAGAACAATTAAAACCTTTGAAGCACTGAATAGCCATTTCTATGTAATACATAAATCTTTAGCAATATTTATATTTGACCACTCTATCGGGGATTAAACTCAGGACATTCGATCTTCAGCCCGCACGCTTAACTTATGGTCTAATCGACAAAGACCCAATGACATACAAACCGGACTTCAGTCAAACTACAATATTACGTGACTACCTTCCTTTTTTTGTGTGGATAGTTTCCTCACATCCGATAATTTTATACTGCACTGGTTATGGTTTCTCATTAAAACTCTTAAAATCACTAGTGAGTAGATGATGATAAACAGTATGGCAGTTGTGGAGATTATTGAATTTTATTAAGATAATATAATTTATATATTTAACATTATTCATGTATGATTAAATTCACATGGATTTGTTTTACTTGTATCTTCCTATTAATATTTAGGACTGCAATTGACCATTCTCATGTTGGTATATGTGCATCGTGTGCGGATTACCTCGCTGTAACCTTAAGTCATGAGCTTGTAAGCAAAGATGGGTAGTGGTTAGTAGTGGAATCCATGGCGTTCAGATGACGTTTGAAGCGAACGGTACTGGGTTCAAGTCTCAGAGTGAACATCAACTCTGAGATGCAGGTACGTTCAGCTGACGAGTTCCAAATAGGACGAAACGCATTCCTGGATTCCACTGTTAGCCACTATCCATCTTTGCATGCATGATTTGTTTTTATTTAATTAATAAATAATAAAATTTACTTGGACTTGTTTCCCCTTGCCATAGTCATTTGTAGCATACAAATTTGAATAGTCAATTTTAATAATTGGTGGATATATTTGTCCATCAGTAGCAGAATCTTGTGATGTCACTTTGATTTCAATATTTGATGCATAACGAACTAATTGAGGTACTAAAATTGGGTAAAATTTATATGAAATATATTTTATTGATCAAATAGAAATAATAATTAAGTAATTTTGCGAAAAGTAATTATAATATAATAAAAACTGACTTGATTGTAAAGATGATGGTAAATTGAAGGGAAAGTGTCTAAAGTGTTCTTTCAATTCATCAATCATTGACTATGTAGGATTAGTTGAAGTTAGACATTAACACCGTCAGATGCCGGTTCAATGGTCTAGTGGTTAAGCACTCTTGCGCGAGACCGATAAGTACTGAATTCAAATCTCATGAGGCGGGATCGTGGATGCGCACTGTTAAAGAGTCCAATACTATAACTAAACGGCCATCTAGTGCTTCCAGGTTTTCAGTGATGGTCTAGCTTGATTTGACTCACTAACTCGACCATTTAGGACTTGGCTGATAATGAATAAACATTAAAGTTATCAATGACATAAAATTGTTGTTAATATTCTTACGATAATAGTTTAAAAGGTTATCTTCATTATTTATATCTTCAGTGTTATCTGTTGTATTTAAGACTATTATTGTATGCAGAATGTTTAACTAACAACTTATCCTCAGTAATGAAAACTCAAAATCGAACCAAACTAGTTATGTGAATACAAATGATGTTGAATACACTTGGTGTTGTTTTACTTGTATCATTCCATTGTTATTTTGGACTGTAATTGATCAGTCTCATGTTAGCATATGCGCATCTTGTGCGGATTGCCTTGATATAGTCTTAATAAGATAACCACTCCACTGTGAAATGGGGACGTATTGGGTTCAAGTCCTAGAGTGAAGATCAACTCTACGATGCAGGTACATCCAGCTGACGAGTACCAAATAGGACGAAACGCGCGTCCTGGATTTTACTGCTAGCCACTTTCCATCTTTGCTTAACAAAGAATGTTGGTATGAATCTATTTGATGCCTATAATAAATCGAAATGATCTATGAATACACTACCTTTTAATATGATCTACTTGTATAGTCACATTAACAATCAAATTTGCATAATTTAACTGATCAATATTTAATATCCAGTTAATTAGTAATTCATTATATGAATATGTATTTGCAACATTGAATTGATCGATTATCTTAGTGACTAAATTTTACGGTGAGACTATAATTTATGGACGACTTTCGAGTAACACTAAGATGACCTTTAAAACGTCCATCTACTAACTAGAACTAAATGAGGATTATAAACCAGCGTGAAAAATTAGAATTATAATTTACAATTGATGGTTAAGGTTAAGAATTAGATTTAAAATTTTCATCACGAACTGACATTAGTTATAATGCGGAAACAGTATTTAGCCAAATAAGTGTATGAATTTTGCGCTAGAATCCGAAACCTGTTATCTTAGATGTGATTGGTCCATCCATGAGTTGTAGTCTTGTCAATTTTGCTTTTTTATTTCATTATATCAGTACCACTTTACAAACTTGTTTACTTGTTGATGTAAGATTTCCTTCTAATTAAATCTTATTCCAAAGATAAATCATACTGAATTATTTCCGATGGTTTAATGATCTAGGCATATTGATCAACCTACTGGTCAACGTTTTGAAATTGAATAGGAAACCGAAAAGTTATGAAACAATATATATACACTTGAAGAACATATGGAACTCAAATCAATTGTCAACGAATATCAAAGTCAAAATCTTCAACATGAACGTCCAGATAGTTTTACTGTACGGAGCTGAAACGTGGAGAACTACTACAACCATCATCAAGAAGGTGCCGTTATTTATAAACAGTTGTTTACGCAAGATACTCAACATCCATTTGCCGGATACCATCAGCAACAGCCTACTGTGGCAAATAACTACCCAGCTTCCAGATGAATAGAAAGTTAAAAAAAGACGATGCAAATGGAAAAAACATACATTACGGAAATCACCAAACTGCATCACGAGGCAAACCTTAACTTGGGATGCTTTAGGGAAGCGGAAAAGAGGAAGGCCAACGAACACATTACGTCGGCAAATAGAAGCAGATATGAAAAGGATGAATAACAACCGGAAAGAGCTGGAAAGGATTGCCCAGGACAGGGTTGGATGGAGTATGCTGATGAGCGGCTCATGCTCGTTCATAAGGAGTAACAGGCGTAAGTAAATATGTATATTTTAACTGGTATAGAGAAACATATCAAACAGAAGCAGTTGTGTAGCATTTAAACATAAAGGTTATTTAAGTAAAAAAATTATATAACAATTCTCACCTTTTGATATTGTAGACGTTTTACCTGAAAAATTATCAACCATAAATAAACGTCGAGTTAATTCCCATTTATCTTGTATATCAGCTTCAATTGATACTGCAGATGCTGTATTACCTAATGCTAATGCTTCATTTAAACTATTTTGATCTGAACTAGTTATTACATTTGGAAAATTGCCACTTTTATCAATAACAGCTGTATTACGTATTGGGATTGGAATAAGTTGACTAGTTTGTGTTGTAGTGTCATAATAATAAATATCTGTAGATATAATCATTTTTTATGATGATTGTTATTATCTGTTAAGGCATCAATAACTATACAGATTGATATGTTGTATAATAGTGAACTGTAAGTAAGATTGAATTGTCCAATGACCGAAAAGAAATAGGCACTCAGATTTGCTAAATTTTAAGACACTTGATATTATGAATTCTTCCTATTATCGATTTTCACTGTGTAGACTGTTATGTTGTGTTGAATAAATAGTTATCAAAAGGAGTTTTTTGAAGATTTTAGTAATTTCAATAGTTGAGGAGTCCCATACTAGGATGAAACGGCCGTTCACTGCTTCCAGGTTTTCCATGGTGGTCTAACTTTAATTTACTCATGATTTTAACTATTGAAATAAATAGTTGTCTGGTTCTTGATCATTCAGTCAAAACTCATCTATCTGTTTATTATGTGAACTAGTCTATATCTAGCGCTTTAAGTTTAGTGATCTAATCACCAAATATAGTCTTACTCAATTATCTTATTATGTATCCAGAGTGAAAAATTACATTTGTTTTTCTTTGCGACAAATATGTAATGTAAAAATATGTTTTTAAGTCAGTCATAATCAGCTTAAAGCATGGAACGAATCTATTTTATGTCATGTTACCTTTCCACATTATCAAAACCAGATGAAATTAACGAGATAAGTATCAAAGAATTTGAAAGAATATAGCAAAAATAAAGAAAAAGGCTAGGAAATGTGAACATGGTTCAAAAAAGCAGAACAAAAGGGTATATATATATATATATATATATATATATATATATATATACTAGCTTTATTCAACTTATTCCTATACCACATAATATCACCCACAGAGATAAGCCGATGTTAAAGTATACATAACACATTTTGTACATTTAAACCAGAGGTTTTTTAACTATTATTCCTGAAAAATTAATTGAATACAGAAATATTAACTATTGTATGGTACTTCATTGATTTTAAGATTTAAATACCTTGAAGGTGATCACCGTTAAGATTGTAGGTGTACCCTGTCTAGGAACAGTATGCAAGAATGAAATAGTTGTCTAATACATTTTGATTTCTTGTAATTGTTTATCTAAATCTATTCCAGAATATAACGCATCTTGATAAATGAACTAATGATGAAATCATTCAAGACGAACCAACGAACTGTTGGTATGAAAAAATAATGCCATGTGTTTTGGGATATGATAAGATTAGTACATTAGTGCTTGAAGACACTAACATCTGGTCTAAGTCATGTTGGTAGATGCAGACTACTTGGTTGGGGTCCGCGTGACTATCGTAACCAATGGTTGGAGACTCTGGGTGACATGGCTCAGAATCGATCACAATGACTTTGGTGTATACACTCTCTATCTTCCCTTAAACTATGAGACTAAAATTATTTCATATATTTCTTTCTACTTACTAAATCTCTCTTCCTGTACTATATGCTTATATGCAATCTTTCTTTTACATATTATCACCATTGACTTAACTACTTCTATGAATCCGTTGTTCATTTTGTTGTGCTAATGGGATGTGGCAACTTGGATCGATGTATATATGTGCCTGATCCTACGTTGTAGCTGACTGAATGACTAAACTGAAATTCTATCAGATATCATCAATCTAAAATTCGTTTCTAATAAACATCAGCGCTCAATTTGAATAAGAGTAGTTTAGATGGCATAAGACAGATACATGTTAACTACAATGATAGATTAAAAACCTCTCTGATGATGGAATTTATACTTTATGTTATAATATTATTATCATAAGGATAGTTTATTGTTCGAAATGTATACACTTAGATAACATGCCTTTACTTACTGAAGAAGTCTTGGAATACTTTCCTTCAAATAGTTTCTGTTTTGTCATAAACATTTTTCTAAGATTAAATAACATTGTAATTAAGTTGAGATCAATTGTAGAGTTCAGAATAGATAAGTTATTTTGTCTAGAACTAATCAATAGATGAATGAAGTTTTGATTACCATACAAACATTAGTAAGCCTTGGTAACAAGTTATGTATATAATCGAAAGCTGGTTTCCCTAAAATGTTAACTAAATTGATTCAAAAGATTCCTATAAATTTTATCCTGATATTTTGTATACACTTAATAGGCTGTGAATAAAAAAAAGAAGACACTTGCTATCTAGGGAAAATAATATATTCATTGAAGGTTATAATATCAGTGAAGATTATGGCTGTTTAGTAGGAAAAATTTAAGAATTACTGTTATCAATATCATGTGTTTAATAGATATTAATCTATTTAGAATAGATAAATTATGACTGTTCGTTGAATGTAGGACAAGCATTTCGTCCTATTTCAGGCTTATGTGTTAGTCTAGAATCTAAAGTCATAATTTATCTATTCAAAATAACTGAGGATGAAACGACTGTTTAGAGGTAATCAGCCAAAAAGTATATATATATATATATATATATATTATATATATATATATATATATATAGCTTGATTATCAACAACATGGTTCCATGAACTGACATCATTTCTGTATAATTCACGTTGTATTACTACTAAAGTCAGTAGTTCGAAACCTTCTCCTACTTAATTACGCCTGTTATTCCCAGGTGAGCATAGGCCGCCTTTCTAGTCCTATCCAATTCTTGCTCATTATCCTCATGTCTATCTTCATTTCCCGGAGTAATGTGTTCTTTGGTCTTCCTCTTTTCCTTAGGCCATGAGGATTCCATGTGAGGGCTTGTCTTGTGACACAGTTGGGCGCTTTCCTAAATGTGTGTCCTATCCATTCTCAGCTCTTCTTCCTGGTTTCTTCCTCCGCTGGGATCTGGTTTGTTTTCTCCCACAGTAGGTTGTTGCTAATAGTGTCTGGCCAACGAATCCGAAGTACTTTGCGCAGACAACTTTTAATAAACACCTGTATCTTCTGGATTATGGATTTCGTAGTTCCCCAGGTTTCCGCCCCATACAGCAGAACTGTTTTGACATTTTTATTGAAAATTCTGACCTTGGTGTTGGTTGTCAATTGTTTTGAGTTCCAGATGTTCTTCAGTTGTAAATATGCTGCTCTTGCTTTGTTCATCCGTGCCTTCACATCTGCATCAGATCCACCGTGTTCATCAGTGATGCTGCCCAGATATGTAAAGGTTTGTGCATCTTCCAAATGTTCTCCGTCAAGTGTGGTTGGATACGTGCATGTTGTGTTGTATCGGAGAATCTTGCTTTTCCCTTTGTTATATTGAGACCTACTGCTGCTGAGGCTGCTGCTACACTGGTTGTCTTCTCCTGCATTTGTTGTTGCGTTTGCAATAGGAGAGCTAGATCGTCTGCGAAGTCTAGATCATTCAACTGCATCCTAGATGTCCACTGTATCCCGCGTTTTCCATCAGATGTTGACGTCTTCATGATCCAGTCGATCACCAGGAGAAAGAGAAAGGGTGAGAGTAAACAACCTTGCCTGACACCAGTCTTTACTTTGAACTACTTTGTCAACTGTCCTCCATGAACAATTTTTCAGTTTAATCCACCATAGGAATTCTGTATGATATTGACCATCTTCTGAGTCACGCCGTAATGTCGAAGAAGCTTCCATAGTGTTGTTCTGTCCACGCTATCAAATGCTTTTTCGTAGTCAGTGAATTTGATGTAGAGCGATGAATTCCATTCAGTTGATTGTCCCACGATGATCCATAGAGTCGAAAGTTGAATGCCTGATACATTAAAATATCAATACATTGAAATAATATCTTATTAATTGTTAACCGCAAACAGAATTATATAACTTAACCAAACAGTTATAAACATTATTGCACGTGAGTTGCAACGTGAGATCGAATAAAATTACACCAACTCAAATATTTATAGTGTGACCGTTTAATAGAGAACCGGATATTAATAATTACATTGTATACTAACATGACATGGTGAAAATAAGCAAGGAATTGGGGTACTCTAGCTATCCAATCACGTCTTAATTTCACAGAAATTATTAACCTAGGACAAATTCTCAGTTGCCAAAGTTTCCACACAGTTGTCAGTACAGTGAGACTAAGTTGGTAAGCTGAATGGTAAAACAGTCAAAATACCTACCAATAACATTGGACGATGATTACTGCTAGTTAACTAAAGTTACACATATAAACCATTAGATACTGGCTTAGTAGTCATAAAGATGAGTTCACTGCCGAACCTGAAATACCCATATTCGGACCCTAGCGAGGTCATAAATATAAACTAGTGAGTAGTCCTACACTAGGATGAAAAAGCTATTCAGTGCTTCTCGTTTTTCAGTAGTTGTTTAACTAGGATTAATCAATTATATGAACTATGAAACTTTGCAATGTGTTTAGCAAAAGTTCCCATCATAACAATAATAAATTCATAAAGTATACACTGCTTGTTCTACATGAACTAAATCAACTTGATTTAACTCAACCTTGCCTAAGACATCTGCATAAATTTCATATGTTCTTTCCAATCCCATATAACTGTATAGATTATTATTAATCTAATGTGTGTATGGGTGAAAGGATGGATGAGTAGGGTATTATCACTTGCATGTTTTCTCATGTCATCTCAAAGTCAAATAGTGAGTGATAAGTTATAGGGGAAAATCAACTTTTTACTTACTCATGATCTTCGATCAAATATTCTTCTGTATGTCAGAAAACAAATATATATATCAATAGTTGAGATCATGAGTCAATTGAAGCTAGACCACCATGGAAAACCTGGAAGCACTGGACGGTCGTTTTGTCCTATTGTGGGACTCCTCAGCAGTACACATCCACGACACAACCCCGCTGGATTCAAACCCATGACCTATCAGTCTTGAGCCAGGCGCTTAACCAACTAGACCACTGAGCCGGCATATATATATATATATATATATATATATATATATATATATATATATATATATATATATGATTTGCACAAGTTGTAATTTAGATTAGCAACTAAACTCATTTAACTTTACTCATTTGTATAGTGGATTGTTAACCATAAAGATGTGTATGTCATTACCGTATTGAACAAACAAAAAAAGGATACATGGATCATAGAAAATTAATGGATATTTTTCATTATCAAATAAATCGTCCACGTTTAATTCACACTAAAACAAAAAAAAGAATCACAAAAGAATTAGTGAAAAGTTAAATAGATCCTTTCGATGAACAATAATTAATTACTGTTGTGTAATCAGATCAAGTAACAGATCCTGTACATGACTTTTTAGTAGATAAGGCATTGCAATTTTAAAACTGTCATAACTTGTAACCACCAATTAATATCCAGTGACTTATAGATCGGACCAATGACGCGTAAACCTGTATGAGCAGTCTAGAGCCCTTATTGGTCCCGCTTCCTGTCTAGCCCAGCCAGTTAATTCCAGAACACCGATCCGAGCCTCTGCGATATGAATTATTATATTTCAAACATACTGAGTTTATATACCAATCAAACAGACCACATCGTACCAATAAAACAGGAAACAACATTTGTACAAGATTTAGCCAAAAGTGTCTGTGAGTATGGGAGGTAGTAATTAATAGACAGAGCATAATTCAAGAATGGTAAAACGTATAATAATGGTTCATAGGTCAAAATAAAGCTTATAATAAGAGGAATATGAATATGAATAGATTAGTTATTTAAAAGTTGTACGATAAACATATACGTTTAGTATTGGTCCATAAATGGATCCCAAAGTTACCATTCATTATGCTTATCAGAACCTAACACAAACCCTATTTTATTTCTTTTCATTAAGGAAACCCAAAGGTAAATTTCATTGGATGTTGTAATAGAAACTATGTAACTTCATACAATTCACACAAATCTACTCATATAATGATTGATATTTAAGTAAATTACTGGTTGAATGTTTAAACCTGCACAGTCGACATAAAACCTGATACAAATATGTATTAGTCATAATTGATGAACTTGGATTTTCATAACGGGAATGAAAATCACCGCGATGAAAAGAATTTTTTCCAAATATAAATTTGAGAAATACGTTTCAAGAAAAATAAATTTTACAGAGGAATGAAAAGATTTGAAATGATTCTTAATTATAAATTGAAATTTTAATAGTTGAAATCATAAGTCAATTGAAGCTAGACCGCCATGGAAAACCTAGAAGCACTGGACGGCCGTTTCGTCCTAGTATGGGACTCCTCAGCAGAGCGCAACCACGATCCCGTCCTCCGCGAGTTTCGAACGCGCGACCTGTCAGTATCGCACGCGAGCGCTTAACCATTAGACCACTGAGATGGCATCCAACAGTGTTAATGTCTTACTTCAACCAATCCACAAAGTTGCGCCACCGTACACCGTTGTCTTCAATGAGTTGATATCCCACAACAGACCTGGTTGAACTCCACTGGTAACAGCTTCTCACTAGATGCGCACTGCTGAGGAGTCCCATACTAGGATGAAACGGTCGTCCAGTGCTTCCAGGTTTTCCATGGTGGTCTAGCTTCAAATTGACTCGTGATTTCAACTATTAAAATTTCTAAAAATTTCCACAAAATCCCTTCTGATATAAATTTAGAGTAAGATGAATTATAAATGCAACTGCATCACTGAGACTGATTTTCTACTATGTCCTTCAACGTCTTTAGTCACAGATTGCTATTATGAAGTTTAGATGACTCAAGAACACTAGGTACAATGAAAGATCAGCACATGAATGATATGATAAACTAGGGGTATGAATCTTTACGACACATAATAATAATAATAATAATAATAATAATAATAATAATAATAATGCTTCACCAAATATCTTTATACAATTAATTAACCTGTATCTACCCCATGAAATGACCTCACATTTTCAATCTAACCAACCTCAGTTTTCTCTTATCTTACTGATACACCAACCAGCGTTGCATGTCAAAGTGGGTGATGGTTATGCGTGATTACGATTTACAATTAACATTTTTATCTAGCACTCGGTGTATAACCTCAGCATAACTCACTGGGTTGTGCAAAAATATACTAGTAATGCTGCGAAAGCATCTATGCTCAATTACTAGTAATTTATGAGAATGCTATATTTCTAAAGACCAAATTTCATAACCATAGGGTAGTACAAAGTGGACAGCTGAGCAGTAAATTCTCCATTTGTTTGTTAGACGAACATCTAGATTACATCACAGGTGAACTAAATTAGCAAAAGCTAAATAAGTTTTCTGTATCCTTTCTGATGTTGTATCAAATAATAACTCACATATACCAAAGAGAGATTTCCAAGGTAAATGAAGTGCACAGGACATTCAGCTACATCACTCTCAATAAGTGAAACAGAATACTTTTTTAATAACTTACAGTTTGTTTATATGTTGTAGCAAATTGAAATGCAGCTTTCATACGTGCTGATGTATCTTTACACAATTGTAATTGTCCGCCTTGTGATGCATCTTGAAAACCTAAAAATTCACCATTTATTTTAAATGCAGCTAAATAGATTTGTAGATTAGAATTAGGACTATAAATTGTTTTTATTTTTGTATCTTTAAGAACTGTTGATCCTTTTGTTGGACTATAATAAAGCCAAGGCATATCATTCACCCTGAGAAAATAAATGATATTGAAACTGTTTAGTTAATAACCAAAATCAGAATAAAGTTACTTTGAATGAAAAAGTATGGAGTAGAACTTCAGGAAGTGCCAGAATTAGTGTGGTTGTCTAGTAAAACTAAGGGTAAATATTCTCTGTTTCTAAGGGTTTGCATTTTCCCGTTATCAGTGTTAGTTATAAACTAATTATTTGTAGTCAAGAACATTAACGACTAGGAAAATATAAACTACTGCAAATGAAACTAATCCCAGTTTATCTGGCTGGTGGCTACCTGACTCAATAATTTAGTGTATAGTATGTTAATTTTTGAAGCAAAATAGCACTTGGTTCGAGTCTCAGAATGAGACTAGTAAGAATCATGTAGTGTTTATGTATTCCGCATGTACTGCTTTTCTATGGCCTTGTGTCCTAAGCTTGACGAACAATACTGTTCGACTAACAAAACCAACCTTCGGTACAGGCCGAGAAAATCATAATACCTACTTTACAGGATGGAGTTTTAATCTTTCCGCTTGCCTGATATCCAGAACAACAAAGCAGTAAGTAGATAACTGTACTGTACAGTTTCAAAAGTTCAGCTTTATGTAATATTTGTTCCGTTATAGCTACATCAATACAGGGATGAACTAACGTTCTGCTGATGAGTCCTAAATAGGACAAAACGCTTTTCCTGAATGCTATTGCTAAAAATATACCAAACATACTAAAATGTCAATGATTTTCAGCTTATTAACTTCTCCTTTGTTTGTACTGCGGTAAAGTGTTGCAATTTGAGCCGATATATATTTTACTGGGCCCTCTGACATAGAGAATATCAAGTTTACCATTTCACCCTTTGTGATTTATTAGTAGAATAGATGCACAAATCTTTTAATAATAGGAGTTAGGTAATCAATTTTGAAGGTTAAATGTATTTATTGAAGATAAATAGAGAGAACTGGAAAATTTGTTAGTAAGTATAAAGATATCTACGGAAGTTGTATTCTATATCAATTGCAGAACTGTTGGAAACCAGAAAGTAATGAGAACATATTTTGTATTAGTACAGAACCTTTTAGACGTACATACCCAATGTTCTTCTGTGGATCAAATCACAGGTGTCTAAGTTTTGTATTGAGCGTGTTAACTTCAGATTACTGTATAGCACAACATAATTCAACTGTGTCGGATGTGAGACAGTTATCTATCTCAGACAATAGATGAAGGGTTGTGCAAGATCATGGATTGATTAAGGTTAGACATTAACACAGCTGGATGACGGCTCAGGGATTTACAAGTTAAGAGTCCGCGTGCGAGAGAGAAGGTTCTGGGTTCGAGTTCCGCGTGCGCACTGATGACGAGTCCCACGCCAGGACGAAATGGTACTCTAGTGCTCCCAGGCTTACAATGGTGGTTTAACATTGATCAGTTTTTGGTCTCGAATAATGCAATGCAGTTAGTGAGTAAATTTCTCAATGTTGATATTATCCATCACTCACGACATCTCATTAGAACTTTAGGAATTCATCTAGAAGTTAGTCCCCAATTAGAATGCAATTAACGTATAGTTGACAGGTATGTAGTGATTGATTCAAGTTGGTGTTGAATCTTGTTCTTCATTGTACTTGTTTTTCTATAATCAGTATGCAACTACGAAATCTAAGCCGGATATTTACTGGCTACAACATAAGTTCAACATAATAGATCAATATTAAGTATATTTGTTGAGTGGCTAGCAGTGAAATTCAGGCTGCGCGTTTCTTCCTATTTAAGACTCATCAGATAGATTCACTTGCATCCTAGTAAAGCTTTAACGTATTACGTGAATGCCTATTGGAAAAATTAATAACTACGTGAATTTATCAGCCCAGTCGATAACGCATTAGTATTGCCAGCGAAAGGTACAACTACTGAGGTAGGGTGGAAGATGTTATTTGCATCATAAAACGATTTGCATATCTAATTAAACTTCACATTATAAGTATTTCATGCTAACACTATAACTTTCTATTATAATAATTATGTGATAGATTTAAAAAGACTTTCTGATGAAAATAAAATAACAACTTACCAACTAGTATAATCACTATTAATTGGAGTTCTTTGACTAGTAAGTCTTCGAAATTCTGAACATGTACTAGCTGATCCAGTTCCAATATTGTATAATGTATTTAATTGTAAGGTACATAAATTAGCTAGTAACTGACATGCTGTTATATTATTATAAGCAGTCTATAAATAAATATAAAAAAACGTCCCAGTGTTAGTTTTCATTTTTAAACATTCTATAGTTAAATGAAACATCAATTTTTGAAAATTGTCTCCATAACATGTTTAAACTTTTAGTACATTCATAATACCTAGACTCAGTGATTTAGTTATAAAGTATTCATTGTCTTTTTAGACAAACTTCCGAGACAAGTGACCTCTGTGTAAAATACATAGTTATGTGATGTGTTACTTATATTGACATAAGCAGTATATTATGTTAGTCGTAAACAGAAGGTCTGGCAGTAAAGAGACAAGAGGATCGAACAGTAAAGAATTGAAACAGAATGCAATTTGTATGGAAATACAAGAACAATGAAGTCTGAGTCATTTTGAGACAATCGGTGGACATTTTTCAAATTAAGCATCTACTTAATGATTGTTAGATTTTATTAACAAGCCCTGTAATTTTGTGTTAAATGAATTCGATTGTCCCCACCCGTATTCTGTTCACTACAATTACAAGACTTTATCAAAAGAAATTTAACATTCATCTAATGGTATGATTCAAAGCATTTTACTTATCGAAAATAAGTCGAAACTAAATACTTACTGAACAAAATGCTGTTGCCGAACGTGCTTGTGTCTCAAAATATTTGGATGATATCCCTGTTTGTGAACTTGTCTCACCCTAGAAGTAAGAGCAAATGAAAATTTAAAAATGGGCAAAGTTATGTCATGAGTTGGTGTTTTCGTAATTTTGATAGTATCGATGATAATTATTAAGCTGTTAGATTACTGCGAATTTCTCCAGAACTTGGGATGCTTCTAATTATTATATTGTTTGTATATCAGTAACAATGTGTAAAACTTTATTATATATCACCTTGTCGTTAATTTTAAAACAAATAGCTTTTTCATGAAGCTGGGTTTAGGATAACAGCGGGATTCAGGATGCGTGTTTTTTGTTCCACTCAAGATTTTTTAGCTGAATGCACCTGAATGTTAGTATTGATATTTACATTGTAGCATGAACTTTGTATCTCAATAGCAACAAAATCAAATCTTAGGTTATTTCAAACGGTTACATAGTTGTAACTTTTTGAGTATTTGTTGGGGTATTCAGAAAATACCCCAGAAATTATCTAATGCTATTCCTGAATGAGAAGTAGTGTCATTTCCCCATTGGTCAACATTCTTCCAACGTGTCATCTCCTTATTGGTCAGTATTTATTTGTGTCATTTCCTGAAGGTTAAATCTTGTACAAATGTTACTTTCTATTTTATGGTACGATGTAGTCTGTTTGATTGGTATATAAACAGAGTATGTTTGAAATATAATGATTCATATCTCCGAGGCTGAGAATTGTGTTCTGGACTCAATTGGCTGGGCTAGACAGGGAAGCAGGACCAATCAGAGCTCTAGGCTGCTCGGTCGTATTTTGTGCGTCACTGTTTCGATCGATAATAGGCTGCTCTCTAATAGGCGGATCACACTTTATAACAGTATTTAACAAAAATAATCCCTTTTGGAGAAATAACATTCCTATTTACAAATGAACAAACAAGGGATCAGATTATACATAACTGATAATACTTCCCAGAATTATATCAAGTAATTATTATGTTCAAAATAATTCGCCTAAAGAGTGTAGCATCTTATCATATTGACATACGTTGATGTGCTTACTCATTTGCAATATTAAACATAATAACTAGAGTTTGGTGAAATAACAAGCATGCACTTTTTAAAATCTGAAGAAACATACAGCAGGTAATACTAGTGTAAAAGTATCCGATCCTGTAGGTACAACGGGGCTTGAACTAGAGGCTGAACTGGAAGTGCCAATTGTCGTTGGTGTTATTCCTGGAAAGCAAACCCCATCAACCTGTAATAAAAGGAAGTTAATGGTATAATGGGCTGAGAAAATACTACTTGATGAGTCTAAAATAAGAGTCTACTACTACTACTATTGCTACTAGTACTGGAGTGAACTCTACTTACGGGATTGTTTGTAAGTAGTATATGGCGGAACGTGGAATCAAAGTTGCAACAATTTTCAAACTGAGTGATAAGTTTCAGTCTCTCGAAAGCTCGGCGTTGGTACAACACTTGAAAACCAGATAATAAGACGGTTCAGATGGCAGAACACACCGGAAAATGCAAATTCATAGTTGAAGACAGTTTATAAGTAATATGTAAATATCTTGTAAATTTCTAAAATGAATATACCTCCTTCTACCTTTCACTACATATGATACTACAAAAAAACAGTCATTTTGTGTTTAATAGTGGAAATATGCAGGATTTTTCCAGTTTTTGCGGTAAAAAAAGTGAAGGAAAGGTTGATCTAATTAAATTTGATTTTTAACTAACTCGTATTGAAGATTAAGCGACAAGAGATTGTGGATACCTTGATAACACCTTAATCTACGCTACTGTACGTTTCTTGAGGATCAGCTGCAGACCCAAAGGAGTATTGTTTTTATCATCGCCAAACTCCTCATTTGAAATCATTTTTGACCACAAGTGTGTGGTAATTGGCCCCAAGAACTGAACCACGTAAAAACGAAATGTTAATTTTGTGAAGAAAAAGAAGAGCGACTGCTGCATAACAGTAACTATAACAAGTTTGTATTGAGATGCAATCCAAATAAAATGGAGTCCTTACAACCCCAAATTTATATGTAGTCAATAAAAATAGCTTAAATACCTTGTGTGTATTGGCAATTCAGTAAAACATTTACTTTATTTTATTGAATACATTTATTTTGTTGCAATGTTTTCAATTTTTCTCACTTATCAAATTGTAAATGCAGCCAGTGTGCAAAAATAAATTGTCCGTGATACCTACGAGTCAGTTCTTTCCATTCATTTTCTTCTTCTAAAAGATAAGCCAGTTATAGTCATGATAAACACACAGCCTGGATAGAATTTGGTACGGTCTTAGTTATCATACCGCATCAGAACAGAGAAATCAAAATGAAAGGAGGAGAGCTAAACTTTATATGAGCATAAGAATCAGGTGAAAATTGAAACTTCCACGTTTCTGACGTCCGTTGTCAGTTTATGATCTGTTTTATTGTGTGCAAACGCTCATTTTGCGTATAGGAATCATCGAAAAGTGTTTTGCAGCTTAGATTTCATGATGAATCAGCAAAATACTACGACATCTGTAAAAAATCTAAAGTAAGCAATATCAACCTTAAACTATGAAATTTTGAAGTGTGTGAGAAAATTTACCTTAGTACGAGTTATACGTTATTTTTTGTGAAGACAAAACTTATTAGGATGGAAGATGCACAGGGTTTAATGCATTTTATTGTTGCACATAAACGTTCTTTAATTAGGTAGGACAACTGAGCGACCATTTTTAGCAACCAGATTTACCCTATGATAACTACTCTTAAACTATTCATTTTATAATAAGTAAATGAGTAACTTCTTTACTGCCATACTTTTAATAGTCAATTTTCGAAACGTTAATGAGCTGTTGAGAACGATCTAATCAAACTACAACTTTCCAAGGTATGAGATACAATTATGCACCTGAACAAGTGCTGTAATATATCGAAATGAAGACAACCGCCAGATTTGAAATGAATGCATAAGTAACGACAAATAAGTTGTATAATGCATCCACAAGTTAACCCAAGTTTGTAGGCACATGATTAGAAGTATATAAAACAAACTAGTAATTGGTATGATCAACTACCATGTACGCTCGAACAAGCATGTATGCGAGCAAATATTATAATATTCATCTTAAAAATACATACAGGTTAGAAAACCATGTTCCGCTAAAGTTCCAAAGGTGAATTTTTACAAAGTTATTTTTTGCTTTCTAGCAAAACACTAATTTTTATGAAACAGGAATTCAGTACCATTTTATTTTGATATAAATGAATTATTAATTATTATCCGTTTAGTTGTTTGTGCGGAACTTAGAGTTTGACATTTATAGTCATCGTCCGTACTCTCAAGAATGGAACGTATCACAAGGTATAGCACGAAGTAGAGCGAACTGAAAAACGGTAGAGGAGGCCAAAGTGAATTTCCAAATACCAAAATACCATTTTGTCCACTATTAGAAAGAATAATAACTGAATAATTGCAGTGTCGACATTTTATTAGCTATTTACTCTAATTATGGTATGAAAAAGGTTGAATGGTATACTCGAATATACACCTAGCAAGCAGGTATAAAAATTGTAAGGGAATAAATCAGTAAACTGTAATAAACTCACTCGGGAGTTCGGACATACGCATGATTCAGGCAATGAAGAAGCACGCAACATTTTAATTGTTGTCCGACATGTAACACAGCTAAAACTCCGTTTGATGACTACTTTATAAACTCACGTATTGTTGTCTGGCATTGTGTTGTTTGAACATATTAGACAAGCCTGTGTAGGGAGTGGGGAACCTGACTGGTCAAGATAAACTGAAAGCATGAGCCTAACAACATCATGTGTAATTACCTGAAACAGAGTCTGAAGGACAAGAACTGCAACTTTTTGTGGCTGCCATATACGAACCAGTCCTACATGGTATACAGAACAGGCCGTCCTCACTGACCGTCTTCAGAATAATCGGTAATCAGGGCTACTTACTTCTCCATTTTTACATTGGGAACATTCAACATTATTACCACCAAAGTTTTTTACCGTTTTGTATCCAGGTTGACAAATGCATGAAAACCCTGAAAATAATTTTACAAAGATTCATACCATCTGCTGATTGTTTTTGAAAAGTCAAATTCTGTGAACACTTTTTACACAGAAGGTTTGCCGAGTTGAAATATTCCGCATTTGAATCCGTGGAGCCAGTCGAACAGTTTTGTTGTGAAATAAGATTAATAGAGCATGATAGAGGTTGTTTAAGAAGAATCCAAATTGTTAATACACAAAGCAACATGTCGTAGTTGAAAATGTGTGCATTGGGTTGTTATGACACAAAAAATACAAACAAACACATAATATCCAAACACTAATATCTTTGTGGAACGTTAGTATTCATTAGGGGATTTTTCAAGTTTAATGTTGTTCTGACAACATAGTTTCTGGTCTAAGGTTTTGTTTAGTGGAATATATTCTGGTCAATCGAGTGGACTAATTTAAGTCAGACCAGTTGTTTTTTGTTTGTGTATCTTATTATTTCAGTGAGGTGATCTGTCTCAAAGCAGTGTTGTTTCTAGAAGCAGTGCTTATTGTTTTATTAGCTATGAGGTTTTCCGAAAGCGGTGTTGAAAATGTAGTGGGAAAATATTCTAATTTAAAATAACAATGAGAAGACGATAATCAGAACAATTGAATAAATTGACAAATAAATGTATTTATTAATTACTTAAATAATATATATCAGCACAGATTGTCAACCCTCATCATGAGGCGATCGGCTGAGAGAGCTACTGTCCCTTTGACTGGGAGTACATTACAAATGGATGTGACGTTTTGCCGTGTTAAGTTTCGGCTGTTCAGAAGTATTTTAATATTGATATGTATGTCGCGAAGAAGTTTTACGTATGGATCGTTCCAACACCTGTCTGTAGTACAAGACGTCTGCAGCTGTTTTTCAGGGTAACTCTAACCATCTGTATTGACTCTGGAATCTCACTTAGAGTTGTGTGGATAGGCTTACTGCAACAATGTAATTAGACGACTTATTCCTTCCTACATATTTTATTTTTATGAAAGGGAAGACACGCAATTTATAACTGACAGTGACTAACTATCTACGTGAATAGAAAGTGGTGTGACACTGATATGCGTACTACCTCTACGCTATGCGCTAATCATGCGAACAGACATAGATTGTGTGTAGCGTGGATCGGGAGTAGAATGCTAGACGGCAGAATATTAAAATAAAGCAAAAAGGAAGGGGAACAAGGAGCAATCGAAGCAAATTTATTCGTTCACTACACATTAAATTGGATCTATAATATTGAAGATGTTATGGATATACTGTTACGAGAGAACTGAATACATTTGGCTGAATAAAACCATTATATTAAACATTATTAATTTCCCTGTGTTTTTTGGATGTGTTTGTTTTACTCAACCCCTGAACCTGATTGTTTATATCATTATTTTCTGACATTTTGGTTTCTCTTTGTCTTTGGTTTGGTATTTGGAATTTTTTGCTCCGGGAACCACAAAATTGAAGTTTTTTTGTAATTGTTATAATTATTGTTGTTAGGACGACATTTGGGTCGACTAATTGTAAATTGTGAATAAAGTTTGGTACCTAATTTGGAATTTGGTTCTGCTGTTAATTTGGGTTTGTAACTTACAAATAGATCGACAGTCTGTACTTCAATAACGGGAAAGAGCGAAAATTTGGACGTTACATATACCGAGCTTGATAAAACTGTCACGTGAAACCTCTTCTTATGCAAGGATTCGAAAGATTAGTAAATCCAGATGTCAAGGAAGAACAGATGCAGAGATAAATTTGAATAACGATTTCTGTTCTGAGGTGCATGTAATCTAGACTGACTAGTTGTTGTAAGATATGTGCAGCACTTCGTGCTCAGTCGCGAACTTGTGTGGATGCTTGATGAAGCTACCCCGTCTAGCGGTGTGTCTAGTAAAACTGGCAAGGCCAGCATCAATGCCGAAGAATAACGAACTTTTTACTTGAGCAATTATTTACCACCACAAGATGATTCTCCGTGATTGATGTGATTCTTTCAAATAACCTTTCCGCTTTAATTGATGTCAGAGTAAATCACAAGTGTTACTAAGCTTTTTAATTGTGGAGTTATTCACGATTAATTTGTTCATTCATTCATTCATTTGCCTCGTTGCCTGCTTGTCTACATAAACAAACCAATATATCCTGATTGATATACTATGGATCTTGTACAGCTTCCACTGAAATGTCAGGCATAGGTAAATTCTAAAGACGGTAGTAGGCGAACATACTATTCTTATCATAAACACTTTAGGTGGTACTTGTACAAAACTATGTAGATAAATTTTACCAATGTGCTACCTATTCTACCGCGTTATTTAACCAAATTAATACAAAAAATTTAAAGGCGCTACTAGTATTTTCACACCAGCTTGTTGTCAAAGTGACATAACACTCTAAATAGTCTAGGAATGTCCTCATGTTTTGAAACTTTAAACCCATACGATTGATTTGAAAACTAATACTTCAAACCCAGAGAAGCGATAAGTCGGCTGTTTAGTTTATGGGTCACTTTCAACAAAGTCAGTACAACCAGTGAAATCCCCGTAAATAAGGTGATACACTGAGGGAACTGAGATTATAAGTAAACTGAGTGAATGAAATTCCCTCTAGGGCGAAAAATGAACGGAATATGCAAATGAGAACACACAAATGTGAAGCCTACATCAAAGATTAAGACGAAATGTCATTGTTACGTCAAACGATGATATTAGGAATCTTTGCAACAGTCCCACTTGTTATGGTCCTATTAATCATAACCGGAAACGCTATCAAAACCCCCGAAGAAGCTTGTTACGAAGAAATATCTGTCTTTAGATCATGTAAGTTGGTTGGTGCCGCAACATAGATGGTACGTTTTCTAGAAACTACAGGAGAATCTACAGTTTCTCAATTTCGAAACCGTCAACCATGAAAAACCCTTCGGAAAGCTTCCTCGCCAAGATGCATTGATGGAAAACGTAGTCGGCGTATATAGCTGTCTATTACATATCAACGATGTCATGATTAAAGCTCTCTATCTCATCAAGCTGCGGGGAAGTTAACGATCTTCCTACGAATACTAATTTACATCTACAAGAACCCGTCTTCAGCTTAGAGGCATTAAGTAGGGAACCAATCGTTGCACTTACTAAGAAATGTATTCATCCTAAGATGAGTTTATGCAAACCCGCCCACTGGCTTTTCGTTGTGCCAGACGTTTTTATGCCAAGAGTTGATATGGACCTGCTACAAAACCCTAGTCTATACACTGACACAGGAATAATAATAATATTTTATTCTCAAATAACATTTTGTTACATGAGGCATGCCAGTTTACAGGCAAGATCAAATTTTTACAAATGATACAATTTCCAACTGTAGTAAATTACTCAGCTGGGTCGATAATTTATAAGATATGAATGTAGAATGGTTTTAGTCAGTATCACAGTTGGCGCGCTTCATGAAAGTTGCGTTGCGACGTGCAACTGACGGTCGATAATAGAATCATGTGCAGTTGAGGGCTTCTAGAAATCGCAATCTTATATCCCTTTGGAATATTTGAGGCTTTAAGGATGATGCAGGACGGGGTCACCCGTTCCGTATCTCAAGGGGGCTGGAAAATGGTGCAAGAAAACAAAAAAAGGACGAGAAGCAGAGAAAACAATGTTCATGAAGAAATGGTTAAGGTATGACTACTCAGTCTGATTCTCTTTCATTAAAGTATTTAGTAAGCAGGAGCATCCTAATAGGTTAAAAGAAATAACTGAAGACAAGGTATGAGTGGATAATCAACTGACAAATGGAGGTGGTTCAGAAAGAAACTGAGAGTATGAGAATATGTAGTTATAAAATATAGTGCTAAAAGCAGTGTTATGATACACAAATGACTGTCTCCCTTTTTTTGTCGACGCTATTGGAGCCTTTTTTAGATTTTATAGGGTCTTGAGTAGGCTTCGTTTTTTTATTTTTATTTTATCGGATTGTCTGGTTTGCTTGTAATAGGATTACTGGTGGTGAGTATCTCCGCCAGTCACGTGGAAGGCCCGGGTTCGATTCCCGGTCGAGGAGTCAGCTTTGCCCCCAAATGCCCTGGTATGGCCGAGAGCGGGGAGGGTTCGCCCTCCCTCTCGAAATACTCTCACACGGCCACGCGTATATAGCCTCTGCCAGGGAAGTCCTACTCACTGCCTTCTCGTGGCGAGGGTGTTGTTTACGAAAATGAGAGGACGAAAAGCGAATGTCCGGCGCTATAACCGGATCCCAATTCTATGGTGCACATGGGCTCCAGTATCCTGCGGGAACAAATGGCGTATGAACCAGCTTTTGGTCACCGGCTTCCATGGGACTGCATCTCCTCACGATGCTCCACTGCCTTGTGGACTAGACCTTTAGGTCAAAGGCCCGGGGTGTGGCCCCCTAAGAAAACCACCTTGTTCGGTCTGGGCACCCGGGCAGTATCTCAGCCCACACACAAAAACTTGATGAACAGTCTACTAATGGAAAATATTCTTTTCGCCCCGATTAACAATTGAATAACTCGCATTATTATTATTATTATTATTATTATTATTATTTACTACGTCATTTATTCACTCCCTTTTATTCCCACTCTATCTATCCTTATTTTTCGACTTATACAGCAGCTCGCCTATGGTGAAAATTCAGCTTTATCTAAACGTTCTCGAGTCACTGCCTGGTTGGAAATTGTATGTTACCACCGAGTATGAATACTGAAGCAGTTTTTCTGAAACCGCGTGCACCATTCAAACTGGCTGTCTTCAACGTTCGCACTCTTATGCAGGTCGGACAACAGATAGGGCTGGCTATGTCTTTGGAAAGTCTTAATATCGACGTGTGTTGTCTATCCGAGACCCGTATTCAAGACTCTGGTGAAGTACTACAAGTTCGCTCTCCATCTGTCACTTCAAAAAGATTGTTTTATGTGCGTTTATCCGGGGACACTCTGGCATCTTCGTCTGGTCTTGCTGGCGCTGGTGTCGCACTAAGCGCAAGAGCTGAGGCAGCACTAGTCGACTGGATCCCCATTAACAGTCGGTTATGTGCTGTTAGATTAGAAAGTTCCATCAAAGTGAGAAGAAATCGGCGTGAGAAACGATGTCTTTTCGTCATCTCCGCCTATGCCCCGACAGATTGCAGCCCGGATGCAATCAAGGACGAGTTCTACCATCAGCTAACTGTTCTTCTCCAGAAAGTGCGTTCGACAGATATTGTAGTACTAGCTGGAGACTTGAATGCTCAGGTCGGGCGTCTAGG